TAGTAAAAAGCCTTTTGCCCCGCATTTCAGTTGCATCCTTATTTCTAATCTATAATATTAATGCAGCCTACTTTAGCTCGCACCTTATCTGTCCACGCGAGGCGACTATCACTATCTACACACTTTATATTAGCCTTAATATATCCACCAAACCCTCCATCCACCTATAGTCATTTAATAATCTGGATCCTCCACTTCATCTCTTATATAGCTAGCTGCAGCTTGGTTCAGCTGATTCAATATGGATTTGGGCCCATATCTTATGTGTGACAGTGTGAACTACAAATGTACTATCTATAAATGATTTTTCTGCTCTGAATCTGCACTTTACGCCCATTATAGGCAGACATCACAACATCAATGGTGTGAAAGGTGTTTCTAGGTCTTTATTTCAGCTTAAGTAAAGAATACGCATCTTTAAAAGTCTAGCAGATATAATGTTTGTTTGACCTGTCCTTAACTATAAGACTTTGCTACTAGTGAAGAGCTTTAAGACTACTTAGTAGAGTCTCATCACTTTTATCCATAGTGCAATATCTATTATAATTCTGTTGAGCAACTATAAGAACATAATATTACCTAGCACTACCTGTGTGTCAAATGTGGTGACTACTTTGTGAATAAGAATAATTTAGAAATAGTAGTACACCAGCTAGTATTAAAAAGTTTGTATCTATTGCTAATAAGTACCCTTTCTTTAGTATTAACAGAAACATCAACCTTGAAACCTAGAATGCTATGGTTATTACTAAAACTTTAAGTTATTTTCTGGAATGTTAATCTATCTGGAGTCTGGAAGTTGTACATTAGATACTACCAAGGAGGACATTAATGATATAGCCTATGATTATTACTAGAGCTGGAAGTATATTAATGATGATCTTAAGTATAGAGGGTGGCTCTACAGATGCCCCAGCTGCGAAATGAATTTCTTAAAGCTTTCTGCACTTTACCAACATGCAGAGGATGTCCCACCATGCTCTTCTCCTCTTAATGGATATGGTTATCTAGCTAAGCTAGAATAATTTATTACTTGCAGACTATAATAGCTTTACAACTTCCTCTTAAGTTATCTTCTTTATGATGCTAGACAACAAGGTCTTTCAGTCACTATCTTCTATATACTAAATAATATAATCTTATCACTAATCTTACATGCCCTGCTTCAATTTCTTCTTATAAGATTTTCAGACATATAAAAAGCACAAATTATTCCCTTACCATGAAAGGACATGGTGTTTCTAGAAAACCTTGCCCATGAAGACAACAATATGAAGCTGTGGGGTCCTATATAGGAAAGAGCCTCATTTAACTTAACACTAGGCCATGAGTCTCATTAGGACATCTAAACAGCAGAAACTAGATTTGCTAATAAACCATTCTTTACACAGTTCTACCACCAGGGCGCAGGTGTTAGCGCCACAGACATTTAAGTGGGGACATGGCTGTGGAAGCCTAGAGCTACTAATATAACAGCCTTCTAGGTAACTAATCATAGCCCACTGCGGCCGAAGAAGGCTGTGGCCTTATTATAGATTCCTCAGCGCTGAGGGTAAACTTATGACAACTTCGACCACTAGGAGCTAAATACTGTAGTTATGGGTTTACCACTGCGGGATCATAGGGCTACCCCAAATTACCTAGGACCATGCGCTATTCAGGATTAAGAAAGTAGAATGGAATCACTTGTTGAGATGGATGTATAATAAATACTATGTGTGTTAGTCTCCTCACTCAATATTTTTCACCAGAGCAAGCTCTTTGAACATAAGGCATATCTTTCTCTAGTTGAAGTACCATCCTCAGCTCCTAGCGCTTTTCTAGGTCCATTATTGCTTGCAAAATGGCGCTTAGTTATGATGTGTAAGGTCCAAAACATCCTCTAGTGGGGTAGGTGTCCCTTATAGTTAATACATTACCAGGATCATGCAATCTAGGGTTGTCGAGTTCATCATTAGTAAAAACTAAAGATGGTTTTCAATACACGCGGCATTAGCTAGTGTTTTCCTAAAGGAGATATTTCAGCCTCCCATCAATAGGCAGATTGATGAAGTCGTCTTCAGCCATTACTATGAATTTGTCTATTCTGGTGATTACTCCGTTCCGTTGCTAACTGCTGATCCGTGTGGGGTTAATGGCAATCAAACCAGCAATAGCCAGGCACTGTCTTGTGGATCTACTAGATGATGGGATCCTATGAACTACTAAGGAAATCTTTTCCATCCTATGGCACTACCTAATATATATGCTTTCGTCAAGGAGCAGCTTGATAAAGCGCCCTTAGATAAAGATGGAGAAGTCCTGAATAATAATCCAGCAGATAATTATGTGAACATTTTTTTAAGCTATGCTGAAGTTTATTGTTTCGCATATATAATACACTAGGGCTTGCTTTGCGTTCTGTCACTCTATTAGCTTATTCACTCGCTGGCCAGCTTTACCCTCTTTAAAGAACGAACTGGAGATGTTGTTAAACTGATAAAGTTTGTATTTAAGGAAACTAAAGGCATGCATAATATGTAAGATGTGTTAGTACATTATGCAGCGTGGAACATTAAAGTACTTATGGGGGATGTTGACTTCTAATAACTACTCAACTGAGTGCCTTTACTGGAAAAGGCGATTTTCTGTGCGATGTAGGCTGGAGATATGAATCTGTATTACTTTTTCTTTATCTGGTACGACTGAAGAGCTAGAAGGAATCTGTTTTGCTCTTTAGAGAGAGATCATAAATATACACATGTAGTCATATAAGATGTTCTATTTTACTAGTTACTATTAAAGTGCCTTAGATGACGAATAGTATGCTATCAAGCCATCGCTCAGAGGAGATAAAGGTATATTTCTAAAAAAATTAACCCATGGAACGCCACAATCTAAAGGGGGTGGGTGGATGCGGAAACAGGTTAGCCAATAATCATTCTTTTACTGAGTGAGTAGTGCGAGCTGAGGGTACACTAAGGCTAATGGCTATTAGGTAGGACATAGCTGGGGAAGCTGAAGAAAGTTTAGCGCCCTCCACGCTTCTATAGTCTGTAAAAAACAGACATGGGCGCCTGCCAAGCATTTCCGCAGTCTTAACTAGCTAGTATTAATTCAGGAAGAGAGTGTCTAGTAAAAAAGCAAAAGTAGGTATAGTAGGCTTTAGGATTAACCACACCCATCATACCCTAGACTCTCAAAGTTATCAAGTCATCAGGTCACCAAGTCATCTTTAAATTTGGTAATTAGAGAGATCCCAGTGTGCGCTGTCATCTGAAGTACTATAGAGGTAAATATTTATGCTTTGCGCTAAACTTTTGCCATTGGCTTTTGGCTTTGCTGTAAAGGCTGGGTTAATATTAGTAATAGAGTTGTGTTGGTTTAAGATATGTAATAATTCTTACCTTAGCTAGTCTGAAAGGAAAGTCTAAATACTGTTCTTTTTCATCTCCCTATCCTCTGGCTTTAAAAGTCTATATCTAACACCCCTATGAGGAGCATTTTTATAGCCTTTTAAAACACTATAGCCGCGTTTAGCTGATTGACCTCGACCATCGCTTGCTTCAGTCGAGAAATGAGAGGGCGTTGGAGATGGTGAGGAGCTCAATAAATAAGATAGCTCTAGTTTATCACTCAGGTTAGCCTCAACACCCCACTATATTAATTTTTGCGTACCTTCAGTTAGTGTGAAGGCACTACTCATTATCAAAGCTGTGTCCTGCTCACTTGAGAAAGGCAATGAGGTAAGAGTAATGGTTCTGCCCAATGCATCCAGACCAGAACTAGGACCAGATATAGTGCAGGGACTGAAGCAAGGTAATACTTGTCAGGTCATGCCATTATCCTCACAAGGATTATCAGTCTCTAATTCCCTTAAATTCTGGAGATTTTGAGGGCAGCTACCTTAGTAAACTATAGAATATAAGCTAGTGATTTACCCATCAGTTTTTAGGCACAAGGAGGTTGACAGTGTGGGTGGCTTCAGATAGTTAGTGTTAATTTGCTTAGATAGGTGGTGATTAGTTCTATGCTTAGGATAATAGACAGTTTCATCTCCTTTTCTTTTTAGCTAATAACTTATAATAGTGGAATTAAGAAGCTTGGACTCCATTAGTTTACTAGGAGCTTTCTTATCTATTTATGCACGAATATCTCTGGGCTAACATAAAAAGAGTAGAACATCTCTAAGAATAAATGTGAGCGCAGAGGAGCTTAAGACCCTCTAAGAACTAAGGCAGTAAGAGTAAACATTCTTTTCACCCTCTCTACCTAGGCAGGTACATAAATCACATGGAGAGGTGTATTAGTTGCTGTCTTTACCCCAAGCTCAGTGGCCAGCGTTCCTATACTAATTACTATTTCAGGTGCCACCTATGAATAATCCTTAATATCTGCCACAGATACACTAGGACGGCCCTTATAAGCTTCTTACATTGGATTTTGTAGCAGATAAGCAGATGCCAGGATTAATTATATAGTATAGGGCCCACAGATCTTTTGTCTATTCCTGGTAGATGTAGAGGACCTTAATTAGATAGGAGTATTAAATTTTGAATTAAGTATCCAGTGATAAGAACTATACTGCCTTAGATGCTCCTCTTCTGACCCTGATCTCTGTGAGAACCAACAAAGGTTTAGTTATTACTAGTCTACGTCCGAGTCATGACGCTTTATTAAGAATCTAATGGAGTAGAAGTCCTGGCAACACACTCTAAGATATTTGAAAGGCTGAAAATCTTATTACTATGCGAGCTCACCCCGCGCATGTTTGCTGAAGGCTGAATTATATTGTCTAATAATAGAAATGGGCCCTATTTCGCTACAGCCTACTGTAACAATAGACACATGGTGGATAGGAATCAAAAATGTATGTTGATAAGCCTAGTAGATTGTGACTAACAGCTAACCCTCCCTCCTTCATCATGGCACAACTTCCAAAAGCTAATAATAAGCTGTAGGGCTATTGCGATAATCATCTTTGTAATTTAGGATATAATAGCAGCTATTCTCTATATTTACTATTTGAGGTCCTTGAAGCCCTTATGCTTCTTTAAGAAATCTACCTATGTGGTAGGTTTGTCCTCTAGCACCGCAAGGCTCTCTTCCAACAGCTTAAAACCAAAGTACCTGCCCTTATTAATGAGGCGCATTATTTCTAAGATTGATTCTGCTGCCCAGTCCGGCAACCCTATTGAGTCTTAGACCCCCTGCAGGAATATTTCATGTGGCAGGCTGAAGAAGCTGGCTGACTTACCAGCCTCTGGGAAGGCCTGCTTGAACCCCTTGACTACTTTCTTGGGAGTTGTATACTTTGTAGCGCCTAGTATACGCTTCCCCAATAGCTGGTCTCGCTTTCGTACGATCGCCTTGACCCAAATTCCCGTGTTATGAACGTCGAACAAGGGAATAGATGCAGTTTCAGGCATTGGGAGGGAGAATACCCAGGCATTATGAGGTGGGGTTTGTCTAAAACCCCTGCTAATAATAGACTGCATATACATCCCTGGTAGGAAGAAGGTGGCTGGAATGCTGACTTCTCTGATATATTCCTTAACCTGAGCCTTGCCGTTAAATTGATAGACGTGGGCAAGTTTCCCTTGTGTTACTAGAGGTTCTCTTATATTAGCCAACTTCTCTGCAAGCTAAATCTTAATCAGCAAATTCTTATGCTTCTTAACATCGGGCAGAGAGCTCCAGATGAAATGATGAATAGTAGATTCCTACTAAGGTATTAGAGTGCCTTCCTAGGACTACACTAGTAGGGGGGGACAACCTTCACAGCATTAACAAGGTTTCGGCCCTGTTGGATTTCGGTATCAATGCTCATAATCTCCCAGTAGTTAGTGATGGTATATACTGCAGTAGCCCCAGTAAAGGCTTTCACAAGCAAGGCTTTATCATTCAAGTCAGCCTACTAGTTAGTCAGTATATGCCAGGGATGTTCACATATCCACTATTAAAGATACTTACAGCAACTATGTACACACCCCCTTCCTTTAGCTTCTTTACTTTATCCTTAGATGGATCTCAAGTCACTGCGTGAACCGTCCACTCTTGGTTCAGGACTGGGTTATTGAGGAAGATATTAACAACACTACCTCCTTGAGCACCAGTAGCTCCAATAACCGCGATGATTTTCTTAGCTGATATGTTAGAAAATTAGATGCTACTTAGCAGTAATAGTATAATAGAGCTAGCAATGAAATAGCTGTTCTAAATAACTCATGGAAAGACTGAAGTTCTAAGGGTATTAATGTATGCTGAAAGATAGGTACTTATAGCTAAGTTCTGTATGATATCCTATGACTGGATTATGAAAGTTTACCTGTCTGCCCCTACCCTAAAAGTGTTGTGCTGCTCAATCTTAGTTTAGGTTTGAGGCTATTCGGGGATCAGGCTTACTAAAGACTTACAAATCAAGCTTGTGGTATGATAAATTTGATGATCTATTGCTAATATTTATTAAATAGTAACTATGGGAGTGCCATTACGCAAGGGTGGAGAACTCAGGGACCTAACTATGCAGTCCTCAGCATAGTTTAAGTGCCGTGCCCCGCTGACTAACTGTATACTGTGCGACAGAAGAGGTAGGCGGTTTTAGGAAAGTAGGGGAAAACCAAGCTTCTTAGATAAGGGTGATTCTCGCTTGGTAGGGACCTTCAAGGGCTATTCCTAATTCATAAGAAGGAGGCGCAAGTAATCTAGCTAATAAAACTGCTTGATTCAAAATTAGCGCTAATCACGACTAGCACTGCCAGGCATGGGGATGCCTTAGCATGTGCAGAAACCCACTTTTTTAAGCCCTTAAAATTCCTATCAATTCCTATAGGAAGTCTATTGACAAATATAGTCTTAGCCTTCATCTCTAGTCACCTGCATTCTAATATAAGGTAGTCTAGGTAAAGGATAGAGGGTAAATAGAGAGAAGCGTAGGTTAATATTATTAATAAGTAGGGTATGGGTAATAAGGTAGATGGTAAATAAATCACAGTAGGAATCAATACTGTGTAAATACTAATAAACAGCCACTGGAGAAGGTGGTTGAAAATAAGTACAAGGGACAAAGAATTAGTTATAATAGATTACACCAAAATTTTTCCAAAGACTGCTGGGTGAAGCTCTGCCAAGACAGGACCCATCAGTACCTTAGTGGCTTAAGGGTTAGAGGAGCTAACCTACATGGACGCTTAAGTTAAGTAAAATTCAACAATAACCTGAAAGCCTGAAAGTTTCAGGTTATTGTACACATACATTCACATGATTAGGGGCAAAGTAGGTTCTGAGACTGACTATCAAATCAAAGAGGAGGGAGAGAGTGAATGTCTAGTGCAAATGCCATTACAGAGTAGTATTCATGCCATCCAGCTGAAGATTGGTACAGGCCCACTTGATACTAACTCAGGCACCCAGCAAAGTCATTATTTAGATATATCAGGGAAGATAAGGTCCAGTCTGCCTTCATCCACGTGGGAGCGCCGGAAGTAGCTTGAGGGTGGAGACTGTCAAAGAGGCAGGGAAATCCAGAGTAAGACATTCCCCCTTCTACTCCTTCATTGACCAACAAGATGTGTAGGGAGAAGGAGACGAGGAATTATAAGGCAACAGATTATAAAGATGATCCTGAATTTGAGCAGCTAATCTTATGTTGTAGACAGGGCTCCTTATGCAATTCCAGACATATAAACTGAGAGGAAATAGGCGCGGTAGATGGCTAAGACCATTAGTGAGCACAACGAGGCTCTAGAGAAGAGAAATCAAACTTCCTGCTTATCTCCCGGCCAATCCAGGCCATGAATTCAAGACAACACTAATGATGCAACCATTTCTGTAGATTAACTTTTGCAACCACTAATAAGCAGGGCATAGTATGTAGCCTCTCTGGATTCAGATTATTGACTAGAGCGGACGCAATAAATCACAACCTAATTAGATCCACCCTTATCTGGGGTTGCTCTGTGTGATTTAGCCAGAATGAAAACTCCACCCAAGGCATAACCACCCCTGAATAAACTTTAACAGAAAATGGCCAAAATTTATGGGATCTTATCCAAAGTATACTGGAGCAAATTTTACATAGAGAAGGATAGTCCATCAATAAGTTACTGTGAGAACCCTAGGGGAAAAAAGCCATATTATAGAGTATAATAGGTATAGTTACATTCAGCTAATCTTAATAATCAGAAAGCCTTGTTCAATGGTAACTGCCGTAGATGACTCTGGTTTTTGGTGCATATAAAGTCTAATATAGGCTAAATATAGATGTTCTTCAGACTTGCCATTGTCACTTGAAACTCAGGAAAGTCGAATGTTAAAACTACTCTCTTAGATCATCCGTTTTGGTCGCGGATTTATTCAGGTAGTAACAAGACATGTTCCACTTTAATTAGTAAATTGGGTACAGGAAGCATACCTACTTTAGGCACTTCTTCACCGCCCACACTTTCTTACAAGCAGACTCAGTCGGTTGGGCGCACAGGGAAAATCTAATGCTTATGAACGGTCATCCGCTAAACAAACAAGGCATTAGCCTTTCTTCAACTTAATCCAGCTTTTTAGTCAAATCTATTAGTTTTCTGGAACTCTAAATTAAATGCATCGCCTCGTGTTCATCATTGTTGATGCTGTCAAGCCATCATCTAATTTTGCTAACAATGGCTCCTTGTGCGTGTTCTCTTTGGTTCTAATGGGTCATTCAGGTGAATAGTAAGTCTAGTCAATTAACTTAATTCAGATCCTTCAGGTTTCTTAAAGCCAGCGTCGCGGAGATTTCCTATTTGATCCAGTCGCGCATTGCGTCTGCGCTGGAAACTCTGAATTTCAATTACTAAGCTTGATAAAAGACGCATCTGCCTGAGTACTTCGATATCGCTTTGTCCAAGGTTGTCAATTTCGTGAACTTTGTCAAGAACTGTAGCGAATAGTGCGAGAGAATGGGTTCTAAATGTTTATTCACGGGAAAAATCACCCAACTTAGATTAAGTTCTCAATAAAATATCTAAACTAGCAAAACACCGCAAAAAAGCACTCTAATGTTCTAGGCTTCCACGATAATCACAAGATGACAGGGCAAACGACCGAAGCCATAACTCAAGATCAATCTTTGTGGAATCAAGACTAGTCTCATCCAATTTTCCCTTGTTATTTCCAAGCATTTCTTTGAATTCAACAACACTTTTGAAAATTTGGCAGTACTGATGAAAGGAAGATCCTGTTGTGTTCATGATGTAGCTGATTGAGCAAGGAGTCAGATGTTGGACTGTGCATGGGAAACCCTTGAATCCTAACCATGGTTCTTTCCTTTACTAGGGAGAAAGTATACAACATCAGAAAAGACTCAACTAATTAAGCGGGCTAAACCCAGGAAGATTGAAAGTCATTAGGAACAAAAGATATAAATACTATCCATTTCCTTTCCAATCTCTCTCTCTCTTCACCATCTCAATCAGTGACTCTTTGAGTGAACTTATTGGAACACTGGCATTCTAAGATACTCTCACCAGGGTGTGTAGCACCCTTCAACGCCCAAAAGACAGCTGTACTGACCAGCAGAAATGTAGACCTCGCATAAGATTCCTGGAGGCAGCGGATGGATGCAAACCTCTTATACATCTCAGCCAAAATGTTTGGGTCAGACCTGTGACCATATCTGCAAGGACTGGACCATGAGTTCTAAGAACAGTTGTAGTAGGTTCAATGATCCTGCAGGGTACCATGTCTATGCCAGCACTAGGAAGCCAAAATCTGGTGCAATAATAAACTTCAGGTTTTACCCTAATGGTAACTTGGCTGGAGGCTGGTCTTAGGAATCAGACACCATCAAGGGAGTGGTGATCAACAGCAATAGGGTTGTTGCCTAGTAGCTAGATACCCATGGCAAGATTGATACTCTCTGTATTGCCTATAATAACAACAGGGGTTACTACTGCTATTATCATCTAATATATGCTGCATGTCTGCTCACTCCTGCCTAACTTAATGGAATTGAGAACACATGGGGCTTTACATAGCTACTTAGGAATGAGTAACTTAAAGACACTGTTAACTTGTTAACTTAGTCTTGTGCACTATAATAATTAATAAAGATTTGTTCACTTGGCTGCTGAGTCCCCTAGGATCACTAAGTAACGGAGTGAGGCTACTTAATTACAAGAGGCATTAATAGACAGTCTTTATGAATTATATTGACCTTGTTTTGTACTACTCCAGCAAGGTTTTTTCCCAGGTTTGGTTTTCCCTCTCCATCACACAAATATGGGAGCGATATTCGATGCATTGATTTTCTGTTATTTCAATCTGATTAAGAAGTAATGCGCTTTTATTATATAGCTATCTGAAATAGTATTCTGATTTTGTTTCGCAAGGGATTCTTTTTGTTCTTCAAAGAGACATCTAAAATGTACGTGTGTATCTTATATAAGATGAATGCTCCATTTGCAAATTACTATGCATAGATGATGCGTGGCCTTAGCAGACAAATAGCGTGCTGTCAGGCTGTTGCTCAGAAGAGGAGGAGATAAATAATCATAGCATTCAAGTAACATTGGCTGATGCGGAAAAGGGCTTGGCCAGCAACTATCATTTTACAGCGTAGTGCAAGCTGCGGGTACGCTAAGGCTGGTGACTATTGGGTGGACATGGCTAGTAGAAGCTGAAGAAAGCTTAGCACCCTCAGCGCTTCCGCAGTCCACAAACCATGGTGCCTGCCAAGCATTTTCATAGCCTCAGTTAGCTAGAGCGCCCAGTAGAGTTCTATTAATATGCGCAGCTCTCATTACCAGACTTAGCATGAGATAGCTATTCTGAAATGTATTCCCTGTGATGAGGCGTTTCTCATATAGGGATATATCTTATCTAGTGCTCTCTCTTATTAGAGTCCTCACATGCCTGATTTCCTCACAAGAGGATTCTCACAAGAGGGCATTCCTCTTGTTAAATGCCTTCTGAGCTAATCTTTCCATGTCAAATCCCTTCATAAAGCGGCACTACCATGAAGATCTAATCATGAATGACTTCCTGTGGCATACCATATAAAAAGGTCTAGTTATTCCATAAATTAATATAAGAAATGCCTCTTGGGTGGTTAACTGCTCTGAGAGATCTTGCTCATAGTGAAATAATTCATATTTGTGCAAGCCTCTTAAGTCAAGCCACATATTTATATATCATACCTAGAAAGGGATTTATGTTCCCTTAAATGCCATAGAATGGTGGTGCTTGTTAGGAGACCCTGGTTCGGATTCTATCCAGTCTAGTGCTTGGGAGACCAATGTTAGAAGCTGCCTATCCTTATTAAGTCGCCCTTCTGCTGCAAGCCTGTCCTCTTCGTCCTCAGAGATCATAAATATTACATTATTTCCGTCCACAGTCGCCGCACGGTAACACTGGTCGGGCTTAAGGCTTTGCAGGTTCTGATTATATAGTGAATATTTCTTCCACACATACTTCTTTACCACTCATTCCACCGGCGCTGGATCTAAAGGATCTACTTAGATATGATTAGTCTGCCTCCACTGCTCCCGTTTAAAGGTCCAGAAGGAAATTACAACCTGTGCTAGTAGTGGCAACACCAGCGCTGGTCGTGTTGACCTATCATCATCTGCTCAAGGACTCTGACTGTTAGCATCACTAGCAGCTCCTCTGGGGGTGGATGCTATAAGACTGTCCACTTAGGGCAGCATTTCCCCTTCACAGGGAGAGACTGGGAGTGGGTCATGAGTAAGCCTTAAGCTTGTGCTGGTTGTCATATATACTAATTTATTATGAGGTGGGGTTGATGGTGACTCCTATCTTACTTAAGACCTAGGCAAAGCTTCCGGGACAGGTTGCTCCTAGTTTAAAAGGCTAAGCTCCTCCGCAAGTTATTTATGTTCTAACTCTTCTTCCAGCCTCTCTTGCTCTTCCTAGGCCTTTATTAGTTGATCAAGGTACGCATCCGAGACAACTTGTTGCCTGCCAATGCTAAGATCTGATTTTGAGGACTCAGGCTGTGGACTATCGACCTATATCTAGTCTTGAGAAGCGCCTTAATGCAGGCCATCTGTAATTAACCTCTCCTCTGACGCCCGCTCGGGAGGTTCCAGTCTAATAGAAATCCTTGTACATTAGCTGTTCGTGTCCACTTCCTCCTCATTTGTGTGGCTATATGTAGGTTACAGCACACCTAAGTTAACACTTTGAGTGCCATGCGCTCCTTTGTTGAAGGTTTAATCAGAGGTAATGCATTCTAATAATCCTATGTATGCTGTCACTGCTGTTGCTAAATCAGTTATAGTTAACTCATCAGGCGGCTCCTGACGCGGAAGAACTGGACTTGACTCAGGGGGTTCTAGGGTCTCTTAGTCAGACATATCATGATCTGATTACTCTATACTCAACCATTCAACCTCCATGGGGTCTTAATTTAATTCCCCTCTTGGCGAAGCCAATAACTATGCGTCTGGAGTTTCCATTCTTATTACTATTTCATAATATTCCATCCCCTCTCTCCCCTTGGTGCTTGCTGGCTGGGTAGAGTTTGCTATTCCACATCCCATCTGACATCTAGGGGCTGTGGCTGACCTTATTCCTGTTAAGACAGCTCCTGTGGTAGATCAGCATATATAGTAATAATATTATAAGCAGAAAGCCCGTTCCCTCTAACAAATAACAGCAATAGAGGAGGAGCATCTGTATCTCTGGGAGTCTCTCTATTATTCTTGCCCTCAGTGGCTCTAGTTTGTGCAGGTGTCCCAAAGAAGGTGAAATAAACACAACAGCACATAAAAAAGGTAGTGATTATATCTGCAACCCCTACCTCCGCGTGTAGATGATCCATGAAGAGCAAAGGCGTATCTTGCTTGTGAGTACACATTCATGGCAAGCCACAGTGGGCTTGAGGCTTCACAGTGCTATCCACGAGAAGTTCATGAATGATTTCAGGCTGGTTAGGAACCGCAGCAGCGAAATAATCAACAATTTGGCTGACAAGGGCATTAAATTGACGCTCATCATACTAGAAATGGTTAGGTTTCCTAGCCTGTAGCAGAGCTGCCCGCGCAATCTTATGATCTGGGGAACCTTCAATTATTACCTTAATCTCTGGGGACTGGAACCTAAGCTAGTGAGCAAGCTCAGCCATCTCATAGATCACTCTCTTATCAGCTATGGCATGAGATGACTTTACTAAAAGCTTATTATCACTCTTCAGGTCAGGTAGCATCAGAGGATAATATTGCATTACATATAGCTAGATCTATAAATACCCCATATCAAGACACTCCGCATCAGTTGCAGCCTCACGCTGGAAAGTGGATTCAGAAGTTTGAATAAGTCTCTCTTCCACCTCTGAACCCAAATACAGAACGAAAATTGAGCTCATGGTTTTCCAGATAGATTCAGTTAATGAACTAAAGAGTCACTTCACGCAATGCGCACAACTTTTGAGATACTTAAAATCTTCAAAGAACTTATACAAAGACAGAACTAGCCCATCAAAATTTGCTAGCTGGTTCTATATGACCCTTTGTTCTTCTTCACTGAATTCAGCAAATGCTTGGCCACCTAGCACCAGTCCACGGGCTATTTTGCTATCAATTCTGGACTTGCCTAGCGCCAGCAACTGCAGGGCATCCACAGTGTCTGGATTAATCCTCTTCATCAAATCTGGATCTGAGGCCATGAGTGAGGACTAGAAGTCTCTAATATGACCAAGATAGGTGATGATCTCCTACGGGGCGGTAAGAATTGGTAGGCAGTGTAGGCAGCTAGCTCTAGATCATAGGACTCACCTCAACACAGCCTGTGGTGATCAGTTGGTGAAGCATGCTGATTCACATCCCATGCGGCCAAAGACCCGGAATTGGTAATAGCTGATTAAAGGCTAGCTAGAGACGTCAGTTCCTTCTGTTGTCTAGCTGATCCAGGTGTTCTTGGTTGCTTTGTGATAGCCAGACAAACCACCGCTGCTGGAAGGCTTCATTGCCCTCGCCTTTATACTGTCAAATCTTCTGATATATTTCTCCGTCAGTTGGCTTTTTCTGGTTTGCATATTCCTCCACCAGTGAGGTTCTTAATTCTTTGCTGATCTCTGCATCAGTGGGTGGTCAGCATAGTACATATGAAGTGCTACTTACTACAAATAAACCATCTAGATAGAGATCTACTGTCTACTAATAGTTAGCTGGAGGAAGCACCTTGGCTCCTGCCTGCACCTAATGATGTCCATGAAGCGCCTGTAACTGTCCAGCCATGAACTGTAGTTGCGGAAGTTGGTGAGGATCATTAGTCAGTAGTGCTCGCTGTGAAACATTCATATTCCATAGGGCACCAGCGAGATCTCCCTGGGACATAATTATAGGGATGTGATTATCCACATTGAGTTGGTGGCAGCGGTTTTTATAAAAGATCTCACGGAGCTGGTCCAAGTTCTTTAGGTCAAGATCCTGTGGTAATGGAGGATTGAATAGTATATGACTGATACTGACTTTGGTAGTTCCTATGTATTTCCGGCGACGCTCTGCTGCTAGCTGGATCTCTTCCTCAGTGAATAGAGCTCGCTGCATTGTAGATGAAGCTGGAAGGAAACAGCATGCCAAAGCTGGTTCTGGGCCAAAATATATACAGGATTAGTGTGCGTCTCCTGCAGTAGCACTGTGCAGGATTTCTATGGGGGTACATAAGTTCCTATAGCGGTCCTCAGGCTTCCGCAGCAGCTCTATTTTGAGCCACTATTCCACTATTAAAGTGCTCCCACTCACAGGGAATGCATCCCATTTATTCCTATATTAGATGTCTACCAGTCCAACTGCAATATTGCTGATCTTTAATCATGCGGCCTGTGAATAATAAACAGGTCACCCAAATTTTTGTGGAGACAGTTCCTGCTCCCAGAAAGTCTGCTGCTAATGCTAAAGCTGTGGTGCCATCACTGCCTGAGCTTAATGCTAAACGCTAGGGAGAGACCTCATTAAACAGGCGCCTAGTTAAAAAATCTGTGGCTCCATCTTCCATAGAGCCTGGTGGTAAGACTCTACGGGGCTTTCCATAAGCCTTGGCTCTTCTAAAGATTAGTAAGTCAGGAGACAGTGCCAGTTCAGATCTAGTTATATGACAGGAGCCTCCCTGGAAGACTTTCAAGAAATGCTATAAATGCAATCTGGCTGGCACCATTGCTGTATGCGTCTCACGCTCTGGTTGCCATTCTGTCTAGGTGATCCGCCGGTATCCTAGCAAGGATGCTAACAGAATACTGGAGATTCTCTGTTTGATGCACCACAAAAATGTGATTGCTGTTTCAGAATGTTTCCACCCCTCTGATGCCTTCTATACTCTCAGCAACTTCCTCCCTCTCACCCTAGATTATATTGTCGCATGCAAAGCCTTCCCAAACTAGTAACAGCTTGCTGCTATTATGTCTTAGGTCCTTCTCCTCTTCCCCCAGAAGACAAGGATTACTAACTATCTCTTAGTTTATAGAGGGATTATCCTATCTCATGGAGCAAAATCTCCAGCACACCTCCCTTGATTGTTCCAGCATCCTGATGTCTCTTAAAGAGGAGATCTAAATTGGTAATCCCATTATTTGATGCCAGTTTGACAAGGTCTAACAGGAATATATAGCACGAATTGATTGCTGTTCCGTTCAATCGCTGGGTAGGATTTAAGCAAGCGACCTGGCCCCTGTGGGGCGGGTAATGATGGAACTGATGCAGAAATATATCAAGGATGATAGAGCAGTTGGAATTAATAATCTTAAACACTGGGAGAAGTGCTCAGCTGCTGTTGAATTCCTCTCTGCGATGACGTCAGCTAGCTCTTTTAAGGAACTAAAACAGGTTTGTATTTAGTTAGCCTCTTTGGTTTTGGAAGCTCATTAGTTCGCAGCAGCGCCTCTTGACTGAAATCTGTTAGTCAACTAGCGACCTGGTTGGCCTCGCTTAGTTTGCACTGATCTCAGCTTGCACATTCTACTCGTACATATCATTATTAGAGGATGTTGAAAAGGGCATGAATGTCACTACCTTTTCTTCAAAGGACAGACTATTAAAGTAGTAAATGATAATCAACCCTAAGTAGATAAGCTGATGGGAGCTAATATATAAGAGAAAGGAGAAGCTTAATAGAGATTCAGGTGAAAGCAACAGTGTAGACTAACACAGCCAAAGCTTCAATGCTCTATCCCTTTTAAGGCAACTATGTTCAAAGGCACTCACTATTACCAGAACAGTTAGCTTGCATTTAGCCTAACCAAATAATATGAGTGGGGTCCCATCAGGCATATTATTAGCTACACTGGACACCCAGTCCGCGTCTGTGAGTTTAGATGAGTGTCGTCTTCATCACCCTAAGTACACAGGGCGAAAAAATTAGAAAATAGGGGCAACAATGCTTGGACCTAAAGGGATTAATAAAGCACTGTAATAGCTATAAAAAAAAAAAAAAGAAAGAAAGAAAACTGCGTTAAAATGTCTGTTAATCCTAAACAGGTACTGTAGCGTCCTGCTTACGCCGTTATATAGGAATAAGCAAATGACTGTAGATTGAAATGTGTCTACTCTAAGTTGAATATTGGTATTAAGGATGCTTGTTAGACTAAAGAAATAAAGAAAGAGGAGGACGGATTGGCACAGCTAAGTATCCACCTGAAAGGGTTAGTGTCTAATGTGTAAGTAAGTTAATAAAATCAGTCACAGTTTTCTCCGCGTACAGTTTAGTATTTTTGACCTGCTAAGGACCTGTAATCTCCTGGGACATAGACACATTCTCATCCTGGGTATGGGCTTCCTCTAGTACATTATGTCTTAGGAGGCCTTTGTTAGCATCTATCAAAATTTAACAAAGATTAGCTAGAAGCTTTCTGCTTAAGAGTGACATTGCCACTGGCGCTAGTGAGTAATAGAGGTGAATAGTGCCTGGGCGAGTGCGCAAGGTGAAGGTAATCAGCGCGTTAATCTAATTATTAGTAAATCTGTTACTAAACCTATATACTTGAATTAGCTGGGCCACAGTGAGCTGCTCATGCCACTTACAAGTGCATCACTACATCATCAGCAACTAATAAGATACCAGATCCTAAGTGCGCTGCAAGCCTCCACCACCATCTCCCCAAGCACACGTGATAAGTGTGAAAGTTCTTCTAGCGGTATACTTTCCCCTTGGATTTGTTAGGATCATCGTGGTAGGCATTAAGAATGCAGGTGACCATATCAGGCTTGCCTTTCTTATGCAGAGACACATAATTAAGATAGAATAATAATTGCGCGACACGCCTTGCCAAGGGATTAAGAGAAAAAGAGATTTTCTTGTCCTTATCTTTCTCAAGCACTCTAAGGTAAATCACCACTCCATTTATACCTTCCCATTCTTCAGGAAGTCTAAGTCTTTTTAAGCTAGATAATATATCAGCTCCACTGTTGAAGAGGGGCCGCACTATTCTAAAAGGATCCTGTGTGAGAAGGCGAGCTCCTGCTTTAATAATTTTCTTGATTTCCTCATCACTAAGACACACATTCTCCTTTGTAAATGTACATGATTGCAACAATGTGATAATCGCCTGCTCACACCTCTGCTGTTGCGTTGGCCTGTTACGTGTCGATTCCAGTGCTTTAACGGCTTGGTTGAGCGGCAAACTACTAGAACTCAATCAGGTAGTAGGCTCGTCCACTCAAGGGGAGTCTGCATAATTAGTAGAAGGCATTGGATATGAAGAGGCACCTGCATCTAACCCAGGCGTATCTGCAAAACCCATGGGCGTCGTTGTAGAAGTTGAGACAGGGGTTCTGACTGACTGTGGTGTATTAACCACTTAGTAGACTTGTGGACTGCAGCAAGCACTCAGAGAGATGAGTGGCCCGCCTGCTGCGGGAGGGTTGACACCATGAGTAGAGGGTGTTAGGTAAGACACAGGGCCAGCATCGGATCCTGTGGGTCTATTGATAGATTATAGCAAAGCAACCATCAAAGAACCTGCATCAATAGTATTCAGCACCAAGGGAGAAGACATACTTGGGTCCATACTGCTATGATCCTGTATCACCTAATTAAATTTGAGACCGGCATTTGGAGGGTAGTGAATGGTGTTTAACAGTAATAGATTACTCATCAGTAGGGGAGGTACAGACTGGGAAGGAATTAAAGGGATAGATAGCGCTGCATATATTTCCATAGTTAGAATGACGGGAAATCAAATAAATGCAGAAAGCTTTGAAAGTGTTACCAGCAGAGATAATCTTGGGAAATGCTTTTCCTAGCAATACAGGCCCTTCCATGACAAGACCATTCACAAAATAAAGGGCATTAAGCCTCAAAAACATGTTGACCACACAGATCCTCTCTAATTTCCATAGGTTTCTCAAATCGGCTCCAAGGTCTTCAACAAGCTAATGCGGTGTAAGAATCATTTAAGAAGAGAGCAGCTGAAGTCTCACCAACTGACCTTGCAAAGATTTGGCAAGTCAAGAACATTGGGATTTAAGCCAGGGCTGGGTTCCTGCATACATTATGAGTTGCTGAGATGCTAGAGACTAAGAAACACACCACTAGGCCAAACCAGATCTGGTAAGTGTTCATACACCAGTCTGTTGACGATATATCCACTTTATTAATCTGTAGCTCGTGCCACCAGATCCCACTGGATGCTTTAGCCAACGTCAGCGCTTCTATTATTTGGGAAACGTGCAATGATCCAATCTGTCGCAGTTTCAGGCTAATCTGGTTGAGTAACTAGGCTGAAGTGAGAATAAACAATGAAAATGCCAGATAATATATTCTTACATTAAAATACGCGATATCATCCAAGTATAATCTATTATTGTGATCCGTCACCTATAAGACGAAAGATAAGCGTGTGAGATTGATGGGGTTAGGGACACTTACCAGGACGCTAATCTTGAGGGAGAGCATCCTTGTGGGACCAGCCCGCTAAGAATAAAGGAGATGGCCAATGAGAGGAAGGAGCTGGGCAGCGACGATGAGTGATGGAAAAGAAGTGGTTTGGTTGGCATCCAGAGGTTTGGAAATGACAGCGAGGGTTGGAAACAACAGTGAGGTTTGGAAAACATCTTAAAAAGAGGATGAACCTGGCTTGCTTTTATAGAAAATAAATGATGACTAGTAGTAAAGAGAGGCCCTCAGAAAAAGATACCTTCCAGGAAAGAGGGTGGTCAATATGACAAAGAGTTTAATAAAGTTCAACAGTCTGAAACAGTGAAGGAGTGGTTAAAAGACAAGTATTCACCCTCATGGCCTGAAGAAGATTTAAAGCACTTATGTTAGCCCCACCTCCAGCTGCGCGCTGAAAATGGAGTCATCAGTTACTGCAGATCAGAGAGTAAGAACCAAAAATACAAGCAAAAATCTAGGGCTAGACTTCTAGATGAAAATTACCGCTCTAGTCCAGTTACTCAAGCCATCTTTTAATCCACCGATTTCTCCCACCGTCTATGGTAATCTATTCATCTGGAATTCGTACGGTGATTAATGTAATGTAACTGTCTGTCTAGGAGCTATTCTATGGTAATCTTTCCCCCACACCTAACTGACCTACACTAGATCAGTATTGCACCTTCCACGGTACTCTTAGTTAGCGCTAGGCTGATACTCCATTTCCAAAAGATTTACACCCTGATGAAGATATGCCTTAACTGTCTCCCATAGTTGGTCTTGAAGCTCATCTGCTGTAGAGACTGGGAAGATGTTCAGCATATGATCATGGGAAAGATAAGAACCTTACCCATTACTAATGTCCGACCATGCTCCTCCCAGATATTAGGCAGCCTCTTAATTTAGCCGCCCGATGCCTTAAGAGAGATGATGCTATCATAATCTGGTATAGACTGGTAGAGACAGACTCATTTATGTTGACTAAAGGGTAGTTTGTTCTGCTTGAGGCTGTTCCCCATGTATATAGAAATATTGAGAATCTTAAATCATTGGCAATGTCAGTTTCAGTTGGGAGCTGCCAGCGGGAAGATCTAATATGAATATAGCCCTCATCCACGATATTGTCTTTCAGGAGGTTGTTTAACAGGCTCTGGGCGGCAGTGACCTCCTTAATTAACTCCACCTGCCATACTAAATGTAAATGGCGAACCTGGGAGGTGCAGGTATTATAGCTATAGATCATTTTTTTCAGGTATGGCACTGCTGCCGCGATCCTAAATCTACTAGTGATCACTAAGATACTTTCATAGTAACTAACATCCTCACTTGTTCCATGGGGCCCAGTAAACAAAGCTAAGAATGAAATCAAGCTCTGGGCTGCCGCGGGAGCATGGTGAAGAAGATCTACTGATAGACCATAATACAGCTGCACCAGAAGCTCCAGGGTATCCTGTGTACTTTAAGACTAGGATGTGACTGTGAAAGGGTGTGTCTGTGTCCACGACTATAGGCTGACTAATGGAAGCCAGAGATTAATGTACTGGCCAGCCTCTACTTTCACAGGTTAAGGTAAGATAATGCGGACCTGGCCAGCTGTTATAACAGGATTGGCCTCTTTTGCTTCTCTCATGTTAAATGAGATAATGGCCCTAGGACAACCACAACCCATAAACAGCCTGTTTCAGTACAGGAGAGTCACCAACCTGAAGAATGAAGTCATTCTAAACACTACTAATGTGATCACAAGATAAAGCTTGGGCGGCCGGAATGCAGATGGAAGATGCTGCTAGGTGCCATAGATAAAGAGTATCATGAGGATCTGATGGCTTTGAAGAAAGATCTTGTAGGACCATCGATGAAACCATGGAATGGAAAGTAGAGCAACTGTGCCCAGGGAGGCAGCACCCTACTTAAGTTAGTTAAAGTGAACTAATACTACTGGTGAGACTTACAATCATGGTAAAGAGGTTTTGCATTTTGCTGAGAGGAAACCTAAACCTATGGTCTTAGACCGCCACACTAATGTGAAAGGCTAGCAGAGCCATGGCCATCCAGCCAGTAGTATGGTGGATTTTGCGATAAGTGCTCCAGCTGATGCCTAGAAGGTTGGCTACATTGCTCAGGTGGATGGCTGATAGAGGAAAGATTAGGTTAACTAGGGCTAGTTCTCCTGCACGGCGGCCAGTGCCAGTCAGGGAGTCTGCCCTGAAAATAATAAGAAAGGCATTAATTGCAGCATATGATAAGTGAAGCAAAACACTGGCATGGGTCTAAGGACCTAAGAGTTGATGCCTATGGATAAGAAAAGGAAGTGTTAGATGTTAGGTGAGCAGGATAGAAAAAAAGGTTGACTATTTTGCGAGGGTAGAGAGAGTCCAGGCTAGGAAAAGACCAGCAAAGATGCTGCCAGCAACAATGGCATAGATGGTTAGGGCATCTATTCTCTGATTAAATTGAGGTATGACCAGCTGACAAAGGAGGAGGAATGAAGAAGAACTACTGATAAGGGCAGCATGGAAGTAGAGACTCTTATAGTGGAAATAGCTATGAATGATGGCCTTGCTGCGGTATAGCTCCTTTAATCATGGCATTATTTAAGAGGAAAGAGGCCCATAGTGGCTAATGATTCCGCAGCAACCCTCAGCGCCTGGAACAAAGATATTTAGTAAACTGCAGTTTCTTAGAACCATGGAATTTCCAACCTATCCATCAGGTTAGAGTCCAAGCGATGTCTAAGAAATTATCATGGGTAAAGAAGCGCCACTCTGACAGTGCTTGGGCAAAGGCTCAACAGCGACACTGACATAAAAGGAACCTCTTGAAGAAAGCAGCAGAATTTAGTTTAGAGTGCGAATCCAATGTCTTCTTGGCTGTTCAGATCCAGAAAACTGGGCAGATATACATTTTTGACTCATCCTCAGAGATACAATGGCTGAATATACTATCCAATAAGGTATGCCATATGAGGCTCTGTTCCTGTGGTCAAACTCACATTATTAGGCAATGTACTACCCTCCTCTGATCCAGGAGACACTGGAGGATATCATCTCCTAGCCTGAGGAGTCTTGCTTGTCAGTTTCGCTCAGATCAGCAACTACCAGAGATGAAGAGACACTACATGACCTGGAATAAGTCTCATTAAATGTTCTGAGTCTCTCTACCAGCAGTTAATTGAAGAGTTAGAATAGAATTGTTTACTATTTATCTATGTATTCTGTGCTGATGCAGAGAGTCATCTTGATGGTTACCTATTACCTACCATAGGCTAGCCCATAGTTTGGTTCTTATGCAACTCGTGCTACATGTTTGTTATTCTCCTCAGCATTTGGGAACTATAGACGCTAAGCTAAATTGGGAAAATGATATAGGGGTTCTTGCTCCTCCAGCGTGATGTAATGTTTTCTGCCGGGTGAGCTCTGGGAGAATAAGTAGCTGATATATATACTACAGAAGTCGCTTTGTCTGTATTCTCATTCACTTGATGCTTCTAGGGACAGCGTGAATTCTGATAACCGCCATAGGAGATGATGTCAGGACAATAAAATTAAGATGAAAGTATTTTGAGCGCGCTAAATAAGGAGTGCTAAGAAAATGAATTAAATACTAGAGTATTTCAAGCACGCTGAATAAGGAGTGCTAGGAAAATGAAATTAAGATGAAAGTATTTCAAGCGCGCTGAATAAGGAGTGCTAGGAAAATAAAACCAAAGATAAGAGTATTTCAAGCACACCGAATATGGCGTGGTTAATTTTGATAATAAGCCACATAAATCACACAGATACTAATATATATCAATCTCATCTATAGAATGTTCTTATAAGTTCCTGGGTCATCACCTACAGAGTAAGTCACTGTTAGCTGTATAATGAGTGCAGACCCCTCCGGCCCAGTAAAGATGCTGTGTCCTTAGGAGTGGTGTTAATAAATCAAGAGTCCTCCTGTATGTGGTATCATCCCAACAGCCTGTTAGTACCTACACCAAAGCTTATTACTTCAGGAAATCCTCAAACACAGCGGCTTTGATTAGACAATTACTTAATCCACCCCTGAGGAAACATCTACCACTAATAATGGAGTGTGGGGTCCACCTTAAGATTAATGATTTCCTAGTAGAGATTAGTTGCCTTAGTCCCTTACCTATAAGTTATTGCTAGCAATACTAAGACGCTCCTCTATTTACTATTCTGTCTTCTACCTGAGTTGATGGACTCTCCGACACAAGGTAATTCTTGGATAAGTGTTCATTATGATGCTGTCACATAATGCTACTTATTGTTAAGTATACTTGAATTAATTAATACAGCTTGTTATTAGCTAACAAGAGTTGGATCTGTGAGTTAAGTCAATAGTACAGACAAACTAACTAATGAATGAGTGGGTAGAGCCCTCCAAAACAGTCCTTTGCAATAGAGACAAAAGCTTAGTAACGCAGGCAGTACTCAGTCAACTGGATCTGATGGTTGATAGACAATAAAAAAAATTAAGTTAACTTCTGATTAGATTAACTGAGCTCCAATACAACCAGAGAACCGTGGGCTACATGATCCTACTTTCTTTTTTACTCTAGTTTCTAGGATCCATGGATTTGGTGGCTTGGGCTTTTTGTCTGATATTAAGCCCTTGGAAATGGTAATATACTGATCAGTCACCTTACCTCAAAGTGGGTAATACAGTAATAAAGGGGTCTAGAAAAAGGTCCCCTCTAGTAACCCTGCAATGCTAGGGTGTAGTTTATGGAGTTATTTCTCTGTTCCTCTAAATTATACCCTGTAAAATATTTGTAAAGGGTTAGTAATATACAACTCTAGGGGAAATATAGTAGCTAATCTCCTATCCTGTCAAAAATAGGACTCTCTCTTATCCCTGCTAAAAATACAACTCCCTCTCATCTACGCCAAAAATATGACTTCTGCCTAAAAGATTAACTAAGTCTATATTACCTGTCCCAGCCCTGACAGTTACCTCATAAAAGCTGAAAACTCTCCCCCTATCTCTTCCTAAAAAAGGAAAAAGGACCAGCGCTAAAATAATAAAACTAAATGGCTAAGGCTGTAACTTTAGAAGTTATCTAAAAGAATGATAGTGGGCTATTTCTAAACACTCCAATACTGGGAGCAGTAGCATGCTTGAACATGTCTAATATTACTTAGACTTAGCACTGCTTGTGAACCCTAGGTTGGACACTCCCGCATAAGGTTACTAAATCTCTCTGCAACCGAATTTTGCCATCACAGTAGGCGGCGTATTGAGCCAACTGGTCTAAAAGAGGATCTTACATAGGAGTTTTGCAGAATAATACATGTAAGGCGGTAATCACAGCAAGTTATATGTTAAGGCTACCTGGTTCCCCTCTAAGTCCTTCTTAAACGCCAGTGTCTGGAGGTCTGGGAGATCAGTAGCTAATCAGATTAAACTTGCCTATGACCGTCAATCTGACCATTGCTTTGAGGTGGATATGACAAGGCAGAAATGCGGACTGAAGGCTACCAACTAATCTCCTAAAACCTAAATTCCCATGAGAGATAATTAGGGGAAAACGCAATGTGCTACCACACATAGTATGAGTAGACATATAGACATTACTGCTGACGTGTCTCACTACATAAGGTCAGGCTGGTTTGGCAAGGTGCATGCAAGACCTTAGACAACTCATACCTGCATAGTCGCCCTCCATCCATGGGATAAACCAAGGTACAACTATAATCCCTATAATTTTTGTATCTCTAGTATATATATTAAAGCCACCCGTCTGCTGGTGTTAAGAATCACTAAATGATGGTGAATAAGAAGAAATCTTACTCCAAGGGGTCTGCTAACAGCGAGCTAAATCCGCACCTGAAGCAACCTTACATAAGCGGATCAGAGAAATCACTTGGGGACTCACTGATTAAATATAATCAGCCTGAATTGTTGTATGTCTCCTGGCGATTCCCTGCTAAAATTCATTCAGAAAGTCTGATAGCGCAAATATAGTCCCTATAAGTCTCCAATAATCACTATCCATATAGGGCGCAAAACATACAGGATTCCAGTATACTACATCTAAAACTATCCACAGTTCAGCATTTCTCATCCATGGGAACCACATTATATCCTTTCTAAGGTGGATGAGGAGGTTAGTCACACCATTATACACTTCTTATGTACTGGTAATTATAAAACTCTCCGGACTGCATCCAAGCCAGGTGTGTCCTAGATGGCAATAGAATACAGAAGAAGCATGCTTGTCTACTAAGCAGCCAGAAAATATGATTTATATGGCCTACAGACGTACGCGAAGAAGTACATCAAGATATTCAGCAAGTTAATATCCATCTTTGATAGAATGGAGGCTGCAAGAGAGACATATTCTAAACTTCCCCAGGATAAGACTTGGCTTGCCAGCTACATTAATAAACAACTTCAAGTTACATTCTCACTGGACACAAACATCTTTAAGCGCGAAGAATTCTATGACAGTATTGGGAGAGAGCCTTATTTTAACAAAGCTGTGATAAGAATGGTTATAAACATCTACTCTAAGGTACTATCTAGATAGGCCACTGAGACTATCCCTGCGGAAGGTGTTGCTGAGGATGGTGCTGTAGAGGATAGTGCTATAGAGGATGGCGCTATGGAGGATAGTACTGTGGAGGATGGTGCTATAGAGGATGGTGTAGCGGAAGAGTGTGGTGCTGTAGAGGATGATGCTGTGGAAGAGGGTGCTACACAAGAGAGCACTGGAGACAAGGGCACTATAGAAGACGCCATTAACCTTAAGATTCCTACTAAGCCTGCAGGTACCACACTTAGCTTTAAATAGGGCAAGAAGTATATTTTATATAGCAAACTAGAGTTTCTTCCTCTTCATGCAGGTAATAGGGGTATGGGGAAAGATACTAACTTCTAGCCTTTGAAGAATAAAGCTCAGGAGTCAGTCGGATTCAGTTCTCCTTATGAAGAAATCAAATATGAGAAAAAAGATAAAAACAAGGAAAGCAAGAAAGGTAAGAAGAAGAAGAAGAATAAGAAAGACAAGGTAGAGGAACCAGAAGAGACTGCTAATATAGCTTTGCTGAGGCAGAAATATATTGGTTATGATTTTAGCTAATGAGCTTTGATTACAAATGATGTTATTAGTAAGGTATGTTTTAATTTGTTAATGTGGTTTGACTATACATCTAAGGATGTTTGGTGTTCCTTTAGTCAAATATATATATTTCAAAAGTTGGTGGTTTCTTGTGCTAGAGCTGCGGATGTTAAGGGACATTAGCCTAGTGAAATGGTATGCCTAATGGAGATTTCATGGCTTGCATAATGAAGTTTATCCTTATGTGTTAATTTTCGCCCCACTAAGTCCCCTCAAGCAGATGTAGTATTGTGATGACCTTAAGAAGATAGCTCTAAACAACAAGTAGTTTTGTGGTAGTATATGATCCTATTCTAATGTCCATTATCAAGATATGATGGTGTCCCTTGTGATACTATAGGAGTTGATTCAGCGGCAGCAGTTGTAGACCTTTATTATGGCCATACCTTTAATGTTATAATGTCCTAGGATACTAAAAAGTATACTTCGCCCTCGCCCTAAATTGGCAGCTAATGATGGGATGAACACGATGTATTATCCTGCAATAATAGAAATAGGCAACGCTAGTTCTACCGCTAGTCTTAATAGGGATGCTATAAAGCTAAACTGGGTAGGCATATGCATATTCTTTTCTACTTTGCGTATTGGAAACTCAATGTCCCTGCCTCCAGGATGATTTACGGATCCTTAATGTGGTTAAAGAGAAGTACTTAGGAACTTTACCATTACTTCCTAGAATATGCGGGCCTAATTATATGCTTAAGATGTTAAAGGTGGCCTGGGCAGCAGCCAGCTATACAGAGTAAACCTGTGCTAGGGATATATGGACGCCTAAGGAGTGCTAAGATACAGCCTTACTAATCTGAACTTTCTCTGGATCTAGGCCCCGTCAACGCGAGGACTCAGTTGATCTATTAATCTATTTGTGGCTTATGGCTTATTAGCTTATGAGGTGTGGGACAGTTGCCACTGTTTTGGACTAGTATGAATGTGAAGTGGAGCTTTATTAATACTAATACAGTTAAATGCTTCTCCACCTTGAGGGATATGAGCAGCAAAATATTTGAGTCTTATTACTAGTTGTAGAGTGTTTAACATCTGTGTGGGGCAGATGAAGGGTAGGTTTAATTAGGCATATTATTAATTATCCTGTTATTTGAGGATGACTGGCCAAAATTATCTACTCTTGAGAGTGTAACATTACTCTTAGTAAAGGCGTGTGCAACCCACTCTAGTAGGTTATGGTTAAGTGGAGGCCGTCTGCCCACACTCAACTATATAATAAGTTTAAGGTTGAACTAATACTTTTAGCCTTGCATGCACTTAACTGATTTGATACTATGGCTGGTTGCATGGTCGCTGGCCACTAATTAAATTTTGTATTTAAATATGTGACACATACTGGCAGTGACAGCCTGTGACTGCTAAGGAAGGGAACATGGTGAGAGATGGTACCTGGGGCTCATTCATGGTTCCACTAGCACCCATAGATGCGAACCATCTCTGGCTGGCATGATACATACCAACCCTCCTTTGCTAGTAAATGGATGTACTAACCTCTTGAAAAGTGCATATCCAATCCTCTGTAATTCTAATCGCGAGGAGAGTCACCTTGGTGAAATGTATTCAAACCACAGCTGACTGGAAAATTACTGACCAGGGAACTGCGACATAATCTACTCCAGTATTATGTGGAGATGGATACTAGTAAAATAACCTTAGTGAGGCTATAATTGTGCTGTATATTTTTGGAGGATTATAAAGTTAAACCCCTTACACAAAAGTTAAACCCCTATGTACGAAATGGAGACTCCCCTACCCACCTAACCCCTCAAGCACTGCCTAGCTAAGGAAAAAGAGAACTACAGTTATCCCCCGTTTGCTTAACAATGGGTATGATGGGAATCATATCTTAGAGAAAGATGATTAAGTCACCAGAGTTTCAACCTTATCCAGATATCTATCAATATACGCTCTCACGGGCCACTTAAATTGTGACAGGCTCGATACATTGGGTTATTTTGACTGTAAGCCCTGGTAACACTTCAAAAGAGTGTTTTGAATATGATATCACGAGCCTTTATGCCAGGCAAGCTCGGGAACAGACCAGAGAATCTACTAAATGATGGTTCAAAGCAATGGAGTTAAGCTGAGGATGTCATAATAATCCAACAATGGATGTTTGTTACGTGAGGGGCTTCTATCCTTAAGTTATTAGCAGCCCACATCTTGAAGCTGACTTATCCACGTGATAGGTGACCCCTTTTAGTGCTTTCACTGCTATCAGAACCCTCACGATTCTATGGCCTTAAAGGTGGGTAAGGTAGGTGGTTAAAAACTTTTACATCCCCCTGTACTGTAAGAGTAGCATATCACTTAATTAACCTGTTGCACCCTTCGCGCATTGCTATAAGCGTTCAATTTTTTAAGTACAGTGCCCTTCTCTGTGCAAAGTAAATTTGAAAGATTATAGTAGAATGGGGAAGGCAGGAAAGCTCCCCATTATTAGAAAATACTAAGTTAATCACCTGGGTTTCTGTAACTTGTTAGGCTTTAGCTTCAGTCACATAACAATATTGTAGTGCTAACTTGCTGCTAAGTGCATCACAGTTCTAACAGGGACATACACACGTGGACTAACTGAATTCTCATCACATACTAAGCTAGATATTATGTTTGAACCCTAGAACTAGACATACCTAAGTTGCCTGATGTGACTCTCAAGGTTCCTAATTTCTTTCTCATACCAAAGTATTAAAGCCCCATCCACCTGCTGCAATGCACGAGCCTTGGCATATTACTAAAGAATGTGACTGTATCCATTGAATATCCTCACATGAGGGTTACCATCCAGTTACATCTGGATTATTGGGTCGGCTTCACTCAACCTCTGAAATTCAACTAACTCATAGAGGTGGTGAACCCTTGAGATACCGCTGGGATTAACGGCAAGGTCAACTTGAACTAATTCTTAAAAGATTATTTGGGCTTTAAGAGGGACTGCTTCTCTAACAACATCTCCAAGACCTAGCTCTTGGATAATCTCCCAAGGGTGGCTTTTATATTTCGGACAGCAAATATATATGGTCTGCAGAGTTAGCATATGTATGAGAAAGAGGGGGCTTCCCACCTCTAGGCAACTTAGATAGAGGACTAACAGTCAATTCTCAATTCCAGCTAGCCTTTCAGCAACCCAGACTTTGGCCATAGGGCCAAGCAGACGGCATTCTTCATGAAGATAATAAGAATATCTCTCTAATATATTCTTATAAGCAGCAACCTGCTTGTATTCCATTGTTTCACCAGGTTGCGAGAGAACCACAGGATTATTATTGCTCATGGGAACAAAGTCAATAACTCCATACTTGTGGAGAACCATGCGGACACCCTCCTTATAAACAGCTAGGTCTACAAGGATAGCCCTGTCTAGATAGACTGTCTTGTCTTCCGCAACCCGTTGGTAGTCGGGATCTTGGAGAGGGACTGCTGCCCTAACCACATCATGAAGGTAATTGGATTGAACACTTGCCATAGGATCTTCTTGGTGACTGTAACACCATACACGTATGGCCTGTATCATTAGTGTTTATTAAATAGAGGTCAACACAACGTTACCTCGCAACCATAAATTGCCTTAATCAAGCCTTCAAGCTCCGTCATGCGCTTACTAAACCAGTTGCTGATAAGCTCATTCTCAGGTCCCAGTATTTAACCCCAGTACTGTCGGATTCTCTGTGCTTTATCATATCTTGAAAGGGCTCTTCTAAAAGCTAGAGCTCTCTGCAGGTCAATATCACCTGGCTCTGACCAGACCAAAGGATCATGGCCGCTGAAGGGAGCAAATTTCACTGGCAAATATTTAGAGCAGACAGTCGCAGCGTGTTCCAGCAGAACAGCCAAGTCAACTAAAATAGCACCAGCTGGGTGATGGCTTAAAAATGCTGGAGCATACCCGTTGCTAGGATCTTCCAGCTGAACCTCTGCTAGGATCATATCTCCTATGCCCTTGTCTTTGGCATCTTGTGTCAGGGGTCCTTGGCAAACGGGGTACCATATTCACACAGTCTTCAATATTAGTACTCTGCGCACGGGCAGGAGGAGGGTCATACCTAGACACTGTTTTAAAGATTATCTAGTAACTCAACTATTAATTAGAGTCGTCCTTCAAGCCAGGTGCGGCTTTGGGCATCAAGTTATCGGTCAAGCAAGGTGTGCTCTTGGTCATCAAAGTCCTCTTTCACTAGGCGAGCACAGTAGGCGTCACGTAGCTGCTTGCAGGCCTTAACTCTTTTAAGAGTTAAGTCTCTTAGCTCCTGAGCAACGACCATTGGGTCTTTACTGCCTAGCGGCAGAGACCTCACGGCTTCAAAGTAACTAAGAACCCTTTTAACACCATCTTTATCCACAGCAAGGTCTGCTAGCTGTTTATGTCCATCTTGGCATGGGAGAGGCACTATGACTTTGATAACATCATCTAAGTCATGGTGCCAGACAGCAGCCTCCGGAGATAACTCAGGATCAGTCCAAACTCAGACAACCTATACTATTAGCAATCACTAGAAAAGATTTAGTAGTAGACATACTTTCAGGCCATCCATCTCTCACTTAGCATCACCCAAGTCCGCCCCAAACCAACCTAACTCGCGGTGTGAAGTCCGTGACGTAGGAAAGCATTGAAACACATTTAAAAACAGCTCAGCTAGCCACTTCAGAAAAGGGACCATGACAATCACAGTTTTAATGAGTCTCATGGTAGAGTAGTGTTAAGGTCTCAAGGGCGTAACATGGCCTCCTTATATATTAATGAAGGTGACAATCAAGTTATTAATCATGGAAGAGTATAAGTTCATCAGCTATCACAGATTTGGCACTTTAACAGATCTCTTACCTAATTAAATGAGATCGCCTCTGTCACCAGTTGCAAAGACTGACTTATGTACCCAACTTCGCCTCATAGAAAGGAAGCAGCTGCTATTACAATGCAACATACCATGATGACCATTGGGGTACATTCTGCTGCCACCTATCAAGAGATAGTTGCTGTCAAGCAATATTTACAGAGCTGGGATTGATCTAAGTCTCCTAGCTTCAGTACTCCATGACTACCATGCCATTTCCACTGAGCAGAGAAGGCACGGATGGGGTGACTATAGATCAACAGCTTGATCATCTCAATAAACAAAACAATAATTGTCATTACCAGCAACAATGCTAATCTTTCCTCAATTAGAAGGCTTCTGGGTACCAGTTGTACGGTTACGCAGGGACTATAGGAGAATGATCATAGAAAAGCCATCTCACATTTTCCCTTCTATTATGAATTAGGACATTCCTACAACTGATGAGGGATAAACGGTATGAAGCGCAAAAATCCTAAGATGCTGCGAAGCAGCTCTTAACTGTGGCTCATCTTATTAGTAAACCTAGATCATTGGAAAGCCGGATCATATATCCATATCTACACTACTCCGAATATGGTTCAAGCAAATTAAAGCGCCACCTGCAGTAGTCCCACCATGAGATCCTATGTCATTGGTGGTTAGACTATCCGTGCTCATTGTGCACAACAAGCACAGACCTCTAGCCCAGCCCAACAAGCCTCATAGCATATCAGTTGGATTGCGCGAGATTAGTCCTTGGTATGCCAGAATGAAATCCTAGCCAATAGAGCACCAGACTACTTACCATAGAGGAGAAGCAAGATAGGGGAGTGGTTCACTTACTGGATAGGCGGCCCTGGATAGCAGAACGCCACGCCTGGGCCTTTTAAATATGCGAGCAAACTGACTGTAGGCATTGTGATGCAAACACGGAGGACCGCCAGATATTACTAGAATAGCAACAATGCTCAGTATCATTTAAGTATATCATTTCCTGAAATGGACAATGGCGTATCCTTAAGCGCTTTCAACATCTATTTTCAGTTCTCTCTTGCTTCAAGCCACGCCTAACAAAGCTAGCGTTGCATCAGAATCACAAGGTGGCTTGCTATCAGTTATGCCTGGGTATTCAGCCTGATTACTCCAAGTGCAGTAGTACTACTTAAACAACCTTATTAATATCAGCAGCTGATTATAACTTTAGATTGGCCCGGAGATGGAGAGGGGCGTAGGCAAATCACTCAAAGCCCTTTCTCCAGCATAGTGCTACCCACCGACTAACAACAGCTTATCAACAACCAAGAAACATAACCTCCTGCGACATAATCAGTCCCCTTAATATCATAGGCTACTGCGTTCTTTTGTAATATATCCGCAGGAGTACTGTGTAAACAGGACGGACTATAAAGACTGAAACCCCATCCTCTGCAGATAGATGGAAGTCGACAATTCACGGCTATCCTAACTTAGGTGTCTGACTGATTTTGATAACATATTATCTTTCCATCATCTAATTCTTCCTCTTATTACCTGTCAGCTATTCAGAATGTCAAGAGCATTTTCCACCACCGCCCAACAGCTGAAGAAGCTCAAATGGAGGCTTAACAGGACAACAGTGGACATCGCCTGGGCCTAGCATACTGCAGAAAAAGCAGTAGACAAGGCTCCTGGATTGGCTGGTAAAGTTAATAGTGGGGTCGTACAGTACGTGTATATTCTACTCTTCCCAAGGCATGCATAGCCCATCTGACAGGAACAGAGGAAATCCTCACCCAACAGATAAAACTAGGGATCCTTATCACGCTTCCATCACCCTTGGTATTAACAACATCGAGGGGAAGGACCGTGTTACATCTGCACATGTTTACCCCAACAGAAGCGTTACTTTCTCTAAGGAAGTATACGGGCGAGTCAAAGTTAATGTTGATCCTGCTGCCCCCAAAGAAGGCAGCGCTTCCAAATAAACAACAGCAACTCCAGTTATCAAGTATAAGCACATTTAGTCGCGCAGACCAGGAACAACAGTGGACGTGTGGACACATGAAATAACTTTATCTTCATAAAAATTTAACTTTAAACCAGTGCTCATCAAATATAAAGATAGCAGACGCATGGATGGGTTTTCCTTTTTCACCATGCTTTCAACATATAAGAAAAGTAATATTCCATAATTAATAGGAGGTGAGGCTCTACGTAGTACATATATTAGAACTAGTTGGAAATTACTAACTAGTTCTTATCCAGTTAGGTTGGTTGGTTAGTTAACTTTGCTCTAGCTTAGTCATCCTTCATAGCCTTTCTATAACTACCATCAGCTTTACGGACATGGAAGCTCCATGTCTCTCACCCCCCCAGCCTCCAAAAGTTAGAATTACCACAAACATAGGCTAGAAATGCCCAACATCAAATTATTATATAGTCTTTCTGAGGCTCAACACTTTTTCCCTCCGCGTAATTCAATGTCCAAGTTACCAGCTTTTGAATGCCTTGACTATACCCTATTAGACTCCCTTTTTGAGCTTGCAGTTGAGCAGCAGACCATTTCATCACTCACCAGAACAAGCCATCGCTTGCAACAGCTCCATTAAATAGCCCACTTCCCTACACCATGTATTCCACGCACGTTGTTCAGCTCTATGACTGCAGTACAGTCCATAAGCCATATAATAAAGCGCACACTTTCCCTCCGCACTAAACCACTCCAATTCCCTCCAGCTCAGTGTGCCCCTCCAATTCCTCAGCACGAACTTATTAATGAAGAAGCCTCCCCAGCTTACAACCCCAAATACTTTTATCCTGCTAAACCAGGGGAGTTACTTGCCAATCACTATCAGTTACTAGTGAAGATCGGTTGGGGCACACATTCGACTACATGGCTGGCGAAAGATATCACAAGGTATACACCCGACTTTGCTCCTGTCATGCCTACTACAATAACAGTCTAATGTACTAAAGAGGTTTTCATTTAGATACAGATAGCAGTCTGAACATTTCATAACACTAAAAATAATAAACAACCGCAGCCTTGATAAAGCTTACCATGAACGTAACATTGAGGAGCACATTTCAAGGCAAAATCCGTCTCACCGCGGCCGTGCGATCATTCAGACCCACCTTGACAGCTTCAAGGTGACAAGTTCCAAAGGAAGCCATCTATGCCTTGCATACAAACCTATGCGGGAACCTCTGTGGATTCTCCAGAAACACTTTATTAATCAAAGACTCCCTCTCCCCATTGCAAAGGCATATCTCCTTATTCTCCTTACTGGTCTTGACTATCTCCATTCGGAATGCAGGGTTATGCATACCAGCAAGTACTTAAATTTCATCTATTGCATTGAAGACAAAATGACTTTATTCAAGAAATAAGTTGCTAATTTTTCTGGTTCATGCTAGATCTAAAGCTTGACAATATTTTGATGACCTTCAAAAATGAAGACGTCCTCCCCAACTTTCTCAAAGTACAGATCAATAACCTGCCCATGCAATGCAAAACAAACGCAATGACTAGGCAAACAATCTATCGCTATCACAATGATTTTAGGCCCCTGGACTGGAGAGAACTGAGAAAAATGGTGCCTAAAATCATCAATTTTAGGTTAGCAACTTCACTCAAGAACAACAGTCAAGGACAAGCAGGGAAGAGTGAATTTAGTCTCCATCCAATACAACCAGACCAGTATCGAGCTCCGGAGGTCATACTTGGCTGCGGATGGAGTTTTAGTGCAGATATATGGAATTTTAGGGTTCTGGTATGAAATCCCTATTTCAAAGTTATACTTTTCTCTAGTTTTTTATCATCCTTGAACAATGGAAACAGGTCTATTAGTCCAGATCCTACATCATTCCCAGGTGGGGATATATCATGGGTTGCAACTGACTCTCTTATCAGCAACAGGCCTGGAACATTATTGAGCGCACGGAGCTGTTTCATCAGGCGAATGACGCTCAAGGGCATTATAATGCCAAAGCACACATAGCAGAAATGATCGCATTGCTTGGCCCACCTCCAAAAGAGTTACTCGCAAAATCCAATGCCATGACAGATTTTAAATGGCCCAACTCTATCAGAAACAAGGGAGGCAAGCTCTCCAGAAACAGGCGAGAGTATTTTGAGGGACCCTTTTTCAATGAAAGAGGTGGGTGGTGCAGAAACATCTAATAAATACCATTATTCTATGCTGACTCATTCGTTCTGGCAGGCGAATTCTTTTATGATGATCTAATACCGGCCTGAAAACTCGAGGATTCAATCCAACTTCTAGAAGAGGAGGAGAGACCAGTCTTCTTATCTTTTGTCAAAAAGATGCTTACCTGGCTTTCAGAAGACAGACAAACAGCTGGTGAATTAATGGGACACCCTTTCTTAACCTGCTGAAAGTGGGGCGGGGCTGTCTAAATATGTCAACCTCCTCAACAATTAAAAACTTTGTGTATCTGGAGAGATTGCAAATAGAAATAATTATATAAGGTCTCAGCCCCTATCTCATTGGATAAGAAGGGGAGTGTAAGTAATTAAATAACAGGATGAAAATCAAGGATATATTCTGGATGATGTTATCAACTTTATTATTGTATCACCCAGTTATTCATGTCTTCCAAAGCGTCCGGTCTGTTCCTTAAGTGATGATACTGGCTCTTGATTTTTAAAGCGCTTGGTTGTTTACTAGTCACATACATGGCCATAGTTATGTTAAGTTACCTGCTTGGAGACTTACTCAGCAAATCAAAGACTAGGACCCTAGGTAGGTTTCTCCACATCGCACCATCCCTTCTGGGCTGAACCACTCGGTCTTTGATATTGATGCTATACCACAAAGGGAATTAATAGTAGTTCATGCCAAATGTCTCCTAAGTTTGAGGGGTTAAATTAGTCAACCTGCTGGGCTGACATTGATAGCGGCATCATCTACATTATGAATGTCAGCTTCTTTCCTAAATTTTCATTTCCAGCCAAGAGGATATGGATATTTTATCTACTCTAAGACTTCTACAGAAGGCAAGAACTGAGGATCTTCAGAGCTATCATGACGAGGTGTTGTTAATGCTGGCTGACATGAGCAAGCGATTGAAAGTGAGAAAGAAGCCCAGTTCTGTCAACAAAAACTAATATTCTTACTTAAGTCAGACAATTCCTCCATCAGTGACAGTAGAGGCGAATATATATCCATTGGATCAAGGTATTCCGTTACTTCAGATGGCTCAGCCCAGTCTAGTGATGAAGAAGCATCCGACAGCAAGAACAGCATTACAACAAGTCATAACACGCCACTGTCCGGTCAGCTCTTCTCAGATGGTTTAGAGAAGGAAACAGGGCCTACAGACCCTAGCACCAGGGATTCTAAACCTCCTCAAGATCCAGTACTCAGCCCTAAAATACCCACATCCTGGCCGAACAAATTGTTCAAATCATTCGCGGACACTCTTCAGTGGCTCTATACGTTCTCAAGAGATCGCCCAGGTGATATTATAAAAGCACAAAGAATGGAGAAAAGGGACCGTAGGATTGAGGATATCCAACATGTGGAAGGTAGTAAACTTGCCAGGAAGAGTAATCAATTTTTCAAGGGGATGGCACAGCGGTCAATGGGTCTCAAATATACAAACTACCAACTTGCTGCCGGAGAACCTACCCGAGTCAGTGAACTTTGTGAAGGCGTTCGATATTCCGATTCCCGTCTTATCAAGAAAAGACCAGGAATTGCCAAAAGATATCTCACAAGCACCGAACTTAAATCTGACGAGAAAGAGACCATTCTGCGGGGTATAAACGTCGGTGTGAAGCAACTGGTACTCAAGGAGCTCTTTAGGAGGCAACTGCAGGAATCTAGAAGATCCAATCTACCAGGCGCGATATCTGCATTTACTGCCTTGAATGCAAATGCTTTCATTCACCTACATTTCAAAGACTTCCCTCAGTTTATTGACCTTATACTCCCTCCCAAGCCCGAAGCTGAAATCCCACGTATACAATTATCCACAGGGCCGAATAGTCTCAAGTCCTTCCAGATCCCAGATGTCTTGGTGTCCTTATCAAAATGGTTCAGCGAGTTTCAAATTGCTTATAATGGTAAGATACCTGGCTCACTTAACCTCTACAACTCATCTAATAATGTCAGCAGACATATCCTCTTCTATATCACCTGAAGTTGATAAGCCTCCGTGAAAACATGTGCAACTAGGCTCAGACTCTAGGTATCCATCACTCCAAATGCAAGGCTTGGAAACAAGGACCAGTTCAACATCCTATCATGACGAAAATCAAGCCGACCAGCATAATGTGGGCTGGTCGAATCAAAGGTTGACTCTAAATGGGACACTCAATAAAATGATGCATTCATCTCTTCATACAGCGTCTATGACTTCAGATTTTGTGCCAAGCCTTCCTCAAGAGCTGCTTTCCCAAGGAGCTGGGCAGAAATTAATGGACACTAGAGCCGCCACTTCATCGCTTCAGTCGCGGGATATACTTGAGCAAGATGTTACAAATTGGCAACCATTCCCTAACTCTGACATGTGGTGGGGTTTTCCGAATTCTGATACTGGGTGGCATGACACCTGGTCAAGTCCCTTCTCCAACTTAGATACGAACTTTTTCTATAATTGTTAACAATTGTCTTCGATACATATCCATAATCAAAATGTGTATCTTAATATACAACACTATTTCAAGAATCCATTCTGCCATCATCATGTTCAGACTTAAGTGAGGCTGACACAGCCTCACAAAGAGCCACATTTTCTCCAGACGCAACATATTCAACAGTCGTATTGGCTGCCATAAACAAGACATCTCTGGGTGTAAGGGTGATTGATATGGATCTAGCTCATTTTATCTCCGTAGCGGTCATTCAATGCGATCCTGGTACGATTTTGAAAAATCCTCCACTAGGGCTAAGGCCATGTCAAGTGGCTGCCCTGTATATCAGCACAGTCCTAGGTGGACCAGGGACGAAGCGCCCAACTTAATTATTGTTGAAAGACATGATTCTTATTCCTCCGTGTTTCCTAGCATCATGATACAAACATCTGAGATATTCCTGGAACCATGCCTCCTCCAGAAGCTGTGGCTATTAGTAAAGTACTAGCATTCAGACACACTGACATACCTTTACACCAAACTGCATAAGCTGCTGTCCTTTCTGTCCACATTTCCTAGGATATGACAAAATCTCAGCTTCAACAGCATTAAGTAAATCATCAGATGGCTCATCTCCAGAGATGACAAGATATCCATTATCATCTTGCATCTTTGACCCGCGGATGAGTTGATGTTAAAAATGAAGGGTGTCTTCGGAGAATTAGTGGGGTTGTGTTATCAACCAGCCAAGGGGCAAATACCAAGCCACATGTGGCTAATGCATGAGACAAGCTGTTAGTAAGCAGCAGAACCTTGACCATTTTCCTCATGCTACGAAGAATGGCAAGTCCAATAGTTATATATGGATCCTAGTATGCAGTCTCAGACCTCAGAGAGTACAGTAAAATCATATCAATTTATCACAAGATCACAGAATAACCCAGCCACGTGTGCATTAATGATTTTAGGTGCCTACACCGTTACTGCCCAAGGATTTGGCCTATGGAGTAGGGATGCTTGATAGGAAATTATTCTTTTAGGTCTTCTTATGCTATGTTGATTAGCCTTCTTAGATAGCCTTAGGTAGGCTTATACCAAAAGAAATCCTGGGTTTGGATAAAAATTAAATGGTTATAGTACCTAGAACTAATTCTGAGGAACAGTGAAGGTAAGCAACCGAGGATATTTTGGTATGTGGATGCTAGGAAGTCTGTCCAACACTGTAAAGTGGCTGGTTGTTCCAGATAAGCTGTATCCGATGGTCTGGGGCGCGCTAGTCCACAGCTACCAGCCCCATCATACTGGTGAGGATTGTTTGATTCAAGAAGTCAGAGATTCAGACTCTTCACCAACAGAGGCTCCCTTGCCAAGATGTCCTGAGGTCTAGATATGATCGGATTCACATATATACTACGAGATGTTACCCAGAGATGGCCAAAGACGTCCATGGCTTACGGATGGATGATCCCTGATAGGCCCAGGAGCGAGAAGTTATGGTAGTGAAAACTTTTTGCCTGATATAGAAGCTGCTCGGGAAGGAAGGGGCAGCTAGCCATAGTAACAGGAGTTTGGTGTTCAAAGACACAGGAGTTTATGAGATGCAGCAGCTTGGTTCAAGTAAGGACCTAAGGCTTCATTGAACCTGCCACAATGTATGATTGGAATGTCCCGCAAGGACATCCCTATCCCAGCCAAGAGATCGTTCTGGTATAGAAAAATCAAACTGCGAGTTTTACGGCCGGGAAGACTTCTTGCGCTTCAAGCATCTAGTCCAAGGAGCTGTAAGCTTCTGCGTTCTCAACCAACGCATCTGCAGTGACCGCAAAGTCCTCTTAGCAAAGAGCAGACCGAACTCCCTCTCAATTTCGTCCCAGGCAAGCCCTCTAGCAACCAATTTCTATAGGACCTCATCTTCGGCCGCTGAATAACGCCAAGAACTACAGGGGGTGGGCAATGAACTAGATGCTTCAGATGCTTCAGCTCTAACTCTCACCCTTATTCAAGGACCGTTTGCATTCTCATCCATGTCCAAAGCAGCGACTGCTGGCCTCTTTCAGTTAGTAGGCTTTAATCAGGCACTCTTGACCTTGATGCACATGCTGCTTAAGGTAGCATGTTCAGTCACTTGACAGTTAAGCTATCAAGGGGATGTTTCGGCCGCCTACCCAAATAAAGGCTGGACCTTCAATCAGAGTATATCCAGCAAGCCTTCCTCATATTCATAAAGCATACAATGCCTCATGAGACCGTCACCATCGTTGTCACTTATACTATTACCGCCAGAACTTTCAGAAGTGCAAGGCGGTGTCTCAGGAGCTTCTGACGCTGGGTCAACGTCGGCGCAATATATCCCATCATCAGCGCACTTCGGCGACACTAACGACTTACATCCACATGAGTCGTGATTCTGCGCAAGCAAGAAGGTACCTGGGCGGGGCAGATCAGCAATATCAACGCTGAAGCTGCTCATCACTTCGCAGTCACTTCCAAGACCCTGGAGCGTATCTAAAAGGGTCACTGTTGAGCAAGGCCCCTTGACAATAAGACGTGGCAGATTCGTACGTACCTTCACTTGGCAGTGAGATAATGTTCTCTGCCATGGGACTGTCAAGCACTCCAATTTGATAGTCTGAAGGGAACTCAGGCTCATCGTTGACGGGAACGCATTCGCCGCGCTCATTATGTTGAGATGTGGTGCTGTCACGCGGGGTTACAAGATCACGGTCATGTAGAGAGTATGCATGGAAAAAGTACTTAGAAGTAGGAGGTTTTGGAGGCAGGGGATGATTCAAGGGGCCAGATAGAAATAAAGATATGGAATTGCAAGGTGGGAAAGTCTGGGGGAAAGGGACAGTGCAAATTTGTGACTTTCAGGCAGGAAATGAAGATGTCACTAGGGGTCCGTTGTAAAAAATCTGACGATTCATACTGAATGAGGCGAGAGTTTGGGAAGTGGAATTAAACACAGAAGGTATGGATTCCAAGATATAAACTTTGCTATGTGCATGGCTGCTCAACAGGGAGATAGATCTGGGTATTTATAACTGCCAGCTAGGCAGACATCAATGTGCTTGGATATCTTTTCGCGCTTCAACAACAGAACATAGTAGCATGGATTTGCCGGCCTGTGGTCCAAACCGCCTTCACCATAGAATTACAGATCTGGCGGTCCAACCACGCCATGTAATTCCTTGATATTGTTATTGCATGCCTCCCTATTCAATATTCAGCCAATTGCGAACAGTTATCCCAGCCAAGATTTCGGTCGACCCAACAGATCTACCCAACTTTACCCCAAATTAGCAATTGCTGAGATAGGTGCCAGTTCAGCGCAGTCATCATGGAATCACAGCGACTGTTTAATAAGAAACCGCGGATAACAGTGTTCTTCGCGATATTCTTTCTGCAAGCTTATGTCACAGGGCGCAGGAGGCCAAAAAGTCGAGGATGGAACCCCAATTGGTCGTGGAAAAATTGCCAACAGTTTACTGGTGAGGCATTTATGTCATTGGATTTGTTTCACCAAGGATGAGATTCCCACAGCATTGCTGGTGAGGCATTTACGCCATTGGATTTATTTCACCAAGAGCATAATCTCGTCGTCATCTGGGCAAATCAAGCGCGGCAGTGCACATGATTAACGCAAATACAACACTAGAACCGGCGAGCGCGGAAAGACTAGGGGAGTGGGGGCGGCAGTAAGGCGTATTCAGCCTCAGAGTTATTGAGAGTTGCAGTATCTGCGTCTTACTCCTTTGGAAGGGAAAGTCAAGAAAGTGAATGATGTAGAGGGCCGTCCGTGGAACTATAGCTCTCAAGTTAACAGGGTTTACTACAACTCGAGGATAGCCAGGCAATGTACCTTTTTTCCTCTTGGGATATGGATAAATTCACCAAATAGCAAAAAAGAGAGACATAATCAACTAAGCCAGCTCAAGGACCAGTCAAGGCTGACGGCTGGTAAGGAAACTACAAAGTAGAGACAGAAGAGAGGGGGAGGCGCAGCTGCAATTTCTAATGAAAAAAAAAGGAGTTTTCAGGGTAGCCATAGGGGCAGATGAAATGACGGCAGCGACCGGAAGGGTATAGAATATTTGGGGGTTTTCAGGTGAAAGAAGAAGTTGGGAGAGAGGATGGTTAGAACAGCGAGGGGACAGTTCTTATATACTTAAGGTCACATTGCGGGCGGTGTTTACAAGACGGCGTATCAGGAGACCATACCCAAAACGGCAAAACTAACCACAAGAGGGAATTCACAGGTCCTCACTTTACAGTGTTTACGTCTGGATCAAGGCGGCACTTGGAATGGGTGGTTGAAGCTGGGCAAGGTCAGCAACTTTAGCAAGGATGCTTACTGTAGTGTCAGCCTACCTTTCAATGGATGTATCTCTGATGGAAACAATAACATTTAATCATGTCACAAAGGATTCCTGGCTACTAGGGACGTCTAAGTTGTCGGCAAGCTTTATAGTGTTTTGGGTAGTACACCTCTTGTGCCTGGTCAAGGACTAAACAAGGTGCTGTAGCACCGTCAATATCTGCATGTACATCTGTGCTGGCTTTTAAGGATGAAGGTTGCATAAGATTGCTGGTAGCCTAATAGTTAAATAATTAAACAAGTGGAACTTATATGACTTCAACAATCCAGCACATCCCTCCTAAAAGCATAATCTTTTAGAAAATTACGCCTGTGCTCTTCTCCTTTGGAGTAGACATTTGCTCTTGGGGAACACAGATTCCTGGTCCAAGCAAGTATGATCAGTCTGTGAGTGCCTTTAAGAATACACTGGATGTGTCGCAAGTCTGAGAACCATCTACTGCTTGTAAGACCTCCTTCACATTGCATTAATTCTGAGCAGAGCACTGAATATATTTAGCAGCACCTAATCTCCTAGCCATTCTCTCACCCACCTGAACACACCGGTCCTATGCAGTCTTTTTCTGAGCTAGACATCCCTAGGTGGGAATAATGCCGCAATTGCGTTCGCCCTCTTTAACCTCTGGGGAGAGTCCTCCTGATCTGTAGTATATTGATCACGAGCGCCGTACGCCAGCTCAACTAGTGAGCAGACTGCATCGCACATGCCGCGCCCAGTTCTGGGTGAGACCTTGACAAAGAGACAATCCTGCTGGGCTGCAAACGCCTTAGCTTCCGCGTCCATGAGGGCTTCACCTTCACCCATAGCGGCAATCATTATTGTAAGAAAGGGGTGGACCCCATCTTTGCAGCAGCTGCGCATCCCCTCATACTCAGTGACCATTTCGTCCCATGATTCCCTTGATGAAGCATCATATGTGAAGATGAGGGGGATATGCTGATAGAGGGAGAGCATCACTGAATAAGACCCCGACCGCTAGCCGAGGTGAAGTGGACAGCGAAGAGGTAACCATTACAAACAAAATCTGTGCCAGAGTCGTCCAATGTAACATCAAACTCGCGCCAAGGATCCTTCTCTCTCCCCAGTAGCTAATAAACCACGTAGGGTAAGCTCAGCTGGGGGTTCTCAGAGCTTATTACACTGGGCACTTACTTCGTCAAGACGAGAGCCATCGGCGGAGCCTTTGGCATTCACGACAATAATTTCCATGCGCTGTTGAGCGTGGTAGCGTTGCTCGGGGGCTGACCGCCTCCAGTCGCTGATATGGAGGGCGCGAGGGGGTAGGTCGTCCGTTCCACTCCCTGCCGTCATGGCCGGCGCTGATGGCGCGGGCTCGCTGCCACGGCTGCCACTACCACAGAGCTTGCGGAAAATGATTCTGGCGCGAGACAGCATGGGTGACAGGTGGGTAAGGTGGGCAAGGTGAGTGGATACAAGCAATACTCAGAATATATCTGGAACCGAGGCAAAACTTGTTAGAATTGACTAACCGAGATGCTCCATGATAGTCAATATTAATGGTTGAAGGGGGGCCAGGTGTCCTGCGTATCCGTGCCTCAGGCTCGCACCCACCCCGCTGGAGTGGATGCAGCCTAAGGCATGGATATCCCACGGCCCGCCGGGCCAGCAGCCTATCAGCAATCTCCACTCATTAATAATCACGTGATACCTGGCTATTAAAAAGCAAGGAAGTACACTAGCATGGTGGTGCCTTCCCAATCCAGCCTAGCGAGGAGTTGTTACCTTACTGCCAAGAATCCAGACCCTCAGGAACACCAATCATAGATATTTCGATGATTTAGCGCTGGCCTGATCAAGGTCTTTGCATGTGCTTTTCTCTCGGTCCACCGTCCGAGGAAAACACAACAGTCAACATTATTTGGAATCTGAAACTAGTTCCAGCGCGAAGGATGAATGGCGCCTTGGCCACTCACTAGTTGCGCATGAGCTGTGAGCAGGCGAGTATCATGCGAGGTTCACAGCACTGGTCACCTACTACTACAACAAGTGAGCCCATTTGTCTAGGCCCTTTCTTGGTCCCTTTTCTTAGCGATACAACCTCACTAGTACTAATTAAACCTAGTGTGGAGGCTTAAAGAACGGTTACCTCGTAGCCTCTCATACTAGATTATATCTAGTTAGACTGCTTGGTGGTACCTGCCTGGACTTCTAGTTCAGTCCCCATCACAACTACTCAGTCCTCTTCCTCATTTTTCTCAGGACTTTCTCTAGTCTAGTCTCCAGACATCGCTAGTTACCTCTCCTTCTTCTCTAGTTTGTTTTTACTACGGTAAACAGGCCGCTCAACGTTGCACTGGGGATGTGACAACGGGGACCATCTGCAGTAGCCTTATTTAGAGCGGCCGGGGCAGCCACCCTCGTCGCCAATGCCATTTGCTCCCACACTGAGTCTGTTTGAAATTGCCTTGATAGTTCCTGACCAGCAGCTAAGCATCGCTTAGACACGTTTTGATAGCGTCCCACGGGTTCGACCGTTCGAGGGAACGGCGGAACGGCTCCGAATGGCTCCAAATAAGTCATGCAGAGGCTGCCAGTGCCTGGGTGTACCAACGAGGAAGGTCGCTAAACTATTAATGCCCTTCATAAGTGCCCTTCATAGCGAATGGTCAGTTTTCACAATCAGCCGGCCAGCAAGAAGCTGTGCTTTCTGTTCGTTCTAGAAAGTTACTAAATAAACTAAGTTGCGGCGCAGGAGGTGTCAGAATTCCAAATTGCCGCCACTATTTTACCGATATTAGTTCTGTGGAAGAGGACTACTCTGTAGTCATAAGCACTGAGGAAATTGGGCTGTGGACGCCCCGGCCACTTGCGCTCTATGGTTTAGATAATCTCCGGGCGGAGCACCTCAGGCCGGAGTGTGCCCCCTGCCATGTGGGCTTTCGGGTGATGGGTAGGTAGCTTTAGGTATAAGAAGGAGGTAGGAGGTCGTTCTTTTCCCGCAGGCTCGGTTCATATGCTTGCACATCCTTCCAGCCCGGCTGCTTCCCACAGTCAGACCAAGTCACCATGAAGCTGCTGGCTGCCCTCACTTCGGCGTTGGCATGGGGCGTGAGCCTTGTCGAAGCCAAGGCCGTGTTTGCTCACTATATGGTAAGTTACATCTCACTCCCTGTCCGCCCCAGGGGTTGACTAACGACACTGGACGCCGCGCAGGTGGGCAACACCAAGTCCCTTGGCTTGATCGACTGGAGACATAAGATGCAGGCCGCCCAAGCTGCAGGCATAGATGCCTTTGTGCTGAACATGGCCAACAAGGACCCCACTAACGACATTGCCCTGCCCATGGCCTTCACCGCGGCCGATGACATTGGCTTTCAGCTCCTCTTTTCATTCGACTACGCCGGCAATGGCCCCTGGGACAAGTCTGTCGTCATCGACATGATCAAGGGATACAGCACCAAAGACACCTACTTCAAGATGGCCGGGAAGCCATTCGTCTCAACCTTTGAGGGTCCCAATAATGCCGACGACTGGAAGGATATCAAGAAGGAGACTAACTGTTTCTTCATGCCTGACTGGTCATCTGTCAGTGCCCAGCCAGCCGTCCACCTGGGCAACGGCATTGCCGACGGTCTCTTTAGCTAGGACGCCTGGCCGAAGGGGCCGGCCAACATGACAACCTATCCCAACACCTTATACTACGACTTTTTGGGTTCGAAGCCGTACATGATGCCTATCTCCCCATGGTTCTACACCAACCTGCCCGGCTACGAGAAGAATTAGCTATGGCGCAGCAACGACATGTGGTTCCAGTGCTGGCAGCAGGCCATCTCCCTCAACCGCCAGCCCGACTTCATCAAGATCATTTCATGGAATGACTACGGCGAGTCGCACTATATCAGCCCCCTGGACGACTGCCAGTATGAGGCTTTTGACATTGGCCGTGCTCCTTTCAACTACATTAAGGATATGCCCCACAACGGCTGGCGTGAGACGCTCCCGTACTACATCTCCATGTATAAGTCTGGAACCGCCACCGTCACGGAAGAGCGCCTTGTGGCATGGTACCAAGTCAACAAGAATGGGGCCTGTTCTGACGGCGGCACCACCAGCAACACGGCGAACCAGCTGTAGTTTGAGTACTTGCCTAACGCCATGATGGAGGACAGGGTCTTTTACGATGTGCTCCTCACAAGCAACGCCCAGGTCCAAGTCAGCATTAGCGGCGTGGTTCAGGCCGGCGGATGGGACCAGGAACCCCATGGGGCGTTGGTGTTTACCACAGCAGCGTCCCGATCGGGACGGCAAGCGGTCAAGTTGTGGTGATGGTGAAGAGAGGGGGCGCGACCATTGCCACCATCATGGGGGCGTCCATCACCAGCAGCTGCAATGGAGGCCTCAACAATTACAGCCCTTGGGTGGGGAGTGCCAGGGGTCCCCCTATCACCCCAGTCATGACTACTGGCGACCTTTCCAAGTTGGATTGCGTCAAGGGCTTTGGTGTGCTTGAATTCATTGGCGTCTGCGACTTCGCCTGTGCGAATGGCTAGTAAGTACATTAACATGACTGCCCTGATCCGACCCTACGATTTCCGGCCCGTTTGTGTATCAGTCAACATCACTGACATTGTGACCTACCCACCCCTATCTAGCTGCCCCAGCGCCGCCTGTACTTGCCTTAAGAAGGGCGTCGCCAATGCCCCTAATGACACGGGACTGGTGGGCTATCTGCTCCCCAGGAAGAGCGGCTCCTTCGCGGGGCTCTACAGTTTCGACTGCAACCACGGGTACTGCCTGGACTTGGTTTGCGGTCAGACTCCCAACGACGGCGTCGTCCTGGGCTACTCACCTTTCCTGCTGCCTGCATGCACGGGGGCACTGGCGCCGGCGCCTTCCAGGGCCTCTGTGACTTTAGATGCCATCTTGGCTTCTGCCCCATCCACGCTTGCACCTGTACCTCGACCGGCATCTTGGTTCAGACACCGCCCAAGATGAATGTGACGGGATATTACCTCGACTCGTCCATAGACGACTATGGCCTCTGCAAGTTTGCCTGTGAACACGGCTACTGCCCCGATATCTGTGGCAGCTGACCCATTGGTGATGATGGGAATTAGGACAAGTATCCCACCGTCACCCTGGATCCCGCCGTCTGGACTGTGCTGACGGCCTAGTGTGCGCCCCCCTGTGTCCTTGTCCTCCCACCCTCTTCCCTTGCCAGTCTGACCACCATCTCCTTCGACCCCTGGCAAACATCTCTTGAGTTCGGGTGGATGACAATGGATATGGTTGATGGCACCGTGACGACCTACTATACTGCTGTCACCGTCTCCACTGAGATTTCCATCCTGCTGGTGACCACGGACCTCATCAGCTTCTCGGAGGTGATCCTAACCACGACAGTTGATGGTGGCGTCCCGTCCATCATCATCCCAATGGCGAGTGTCAGCCCGCCCCCCTTTGTCATCACACCGACTCCCGTCGCTGACATCACAGTGGCGCCCGTAGCCCAGACCATCTGTCTGCCTCCGTGGCCATGGAGTGGCCCTAGTGCGATGCCAGATCCAAGCGGAACTTCCATGACGACCTCTACTAGCGACCCTGTTGTTGTTCCTATTGTTACCGGGCCGTTCCCCGCCACCGTTTTCCCCATGGAAATAGTAAGTTGGGTCAGGGACTGGCTCCCAGAGCCCACTGCAATCCAGGTGGATGGTGGTGATCCTGTTCCTGTCATTCCCTGCTGGGTCTGGTTCATATGGTCGTGCCCCCCAATGTTAGTGGCATTGTCTTGCCTGGCTTCAAAAATCTGGGCATCTACCCTAAGTATGTCACTCCCCCTGGCACAAGCCGATACCTTCCTTCTTTCGGCTGCCGCCGTGCTAAACTTTTTATATAGGGGAGGCCCGCCGCCAGTTGGACCCAACCCACCCCTAGGACTCACACTGAAAATTCCCTGGCCCCAAATCATGTAAGTCGGCCGGCAATATCCCCAAGCCATGCATGGTCTTCATCTCTCCTTCACCTCCACTTTGCTGTGTCGTTGCTGACGCTTCTATTTGATCTTCCCTCTAGCATCGGCCCCGATCGCAAGCCCACATACCCGGACAAGCCAGACCCGGAGGAGGACAGCTGCGAGACAGCGACAGCCAGTGTGTGCACCACGACCCTCTCATATGGCATTGTGGCCAAGCGGGCTGCTGAAGGGGCCGCCCCGACATGGGCGCCTCAGATCCCCTTTGAAGAGTTCTGGAAGCTCACCAAGCGGGCTATCACCATGATGACATCCACCATCTCCTTCTGCACCTAGGTGACGGGGTGCGGTGCAAGCGACATCACGATGATGACTGTAATTGCAACCACCGCCACGGCCATTCCTTGTGTGGTTATCCCTCGCGACCCGCGGAACATCGACGGCATCAGGACCACCCTGCAGCAGCAGCTTGGGGGCTCTGTGTTGGATCTGTTCAAGTCCAGGATGGACCAGCTGGGCACCATGTTCTTCTTTGTCCCGGCCTTCACCAGCGACCAGACCGACGCCATCTGGGCCACGCGCAGGTCGCGGACGCCTATATCCCCAAGGGCCAACTGATGGTCAGGTTTTAGGGCGTGGCCTGTAACCCAACCTCAGAAAGTGGACCACCTGCTGGGGATGATGATTGGTTTATGGATACTTTGAACAGCACTGAAAGTGAATTATAAGAGCAGTCCATTCTTGCCAAGCGCAGCGAGATTGTTGAGCGGAATTCGCCTGATAATATGGTCTCACTTTCCTGGCCTCCTGATATTGGCCCTGTCCCAGTCCAGGGAGATTATAGGTATGCTGTTCTTTTGTTTATTTTTTCCCCTGCTGTGTTCCTCTCCTCCTGTGTGTGTGTGTGTGTGTGTGTGTGTGTGTGTGTGTGTATGTGTGTGTGTGTGTGTGTGTGAGACCGTGACTGATACAGACTGTAATAGGTTTGACTCGTCGGCGGGTGAGGGCACTTATGTGTACCACGTCGACTTTGGCGCCCAGCCTTCGCACCCAGAATTCAGCAACATGTTGTTCCTCCACCTGCTGCTTCCGGGGCCGTACCCGTGAGCGGCTGGATGGAAAATGACCCTAAGTGGCATGGAAGCTTGTGTCTCTCCAAGGAGGTGGGGAAGACAGTTGGCATTGTGTGCAAGGCGACCGTGGTGGCGACCGCGTGGGACTTTCAAAAGTCCATTAATGAGCACTGGCTCGACGCGCTCGCCAAGGTGCACGCTAACATATCCACTGGGGCGAGGGGGCCAAGAGTGTTGTCAACCTCTCTATCTCAATCCCCTAAGGCGATTTGACGGCGGCATTTCTGGAGAAGATGGGTAAGTCTCTTCTTGTCCATCCCTAAGTAGGATGCTGTGCTCTTTGACTGACCATTCTTGCCTCTTGCCTAGCCTTACTAATTCAAGAGATCATCAAACTTGGTGCTGTGTTTGTCATGGGCTCCGGAAACTCCCTTGGCTCTCCCAATGGCTATCTAGTGCTTTTCAGAGACCCTGCCAACCCCAATCATATCCCAGAGCTCATCGTCATCGGGTCGGTTCTTGGACAAGGCATTTTGGGCCAGCACGCCAATGCGGACTGGGTTACCTGCTATGCGCCTGGTTATGGTCTGCGGATGGCCGACTCTGACCCCAAGTCCGCGACAGAGTACCGCACCACCTAGGGGATGTCTTTCGCCTCTGTAACAGTCACTGGTCTGGCAGCATATTTCTGCGGCCTCAATTCCACCTTGACCACCGCCGCTAGCGTGAAGGAGAGGATTCTGCGCCTTACATACTGCTGGCAGCTGCAGCCCAACCACCCCGAAGGGCCCTACCAGAGGTATATCAACAATGTGGTCTGGAACAGTCAGAAGTAGGGCCGATCCATTGTCCCCAAATGCAGTGACTTCTCCAAAGCAAAACGGCAGAGCAGCGGCGGGTCCTGCCCTGTTGTGTTCCCGCCCCAGCTGTCGCCCCTGACCTTCCGCACCGGCCCACCCTAGCTGACTTGCGCCGGCGCTGGCTGTGGCAGCAGCTGCGCAGGCTTCTTCTGCCCTGGCACCCTGCTTAAGCAGAACCTGGACTTCCTGGACCCGCCTAACCTGGACAGCGTGCAGAACCTGGACAGCCGCTACTACAAGGACTGGGATGGCACCATCACTTGCACCACCACTACCCCTACTAAAACCATCCCCACCACCACTCCAACGCCTCCCAAAAGCTTGAGCGTCCCAATCGGAGGCCCCTGCCGTCTTACTGATGAATGCGAGGATAACTGCCCTAAGCCCGGGGCCGTTCAATGCGAATCCGGAGTGTGCACTTGCTTGGCCCCGCCTCCCAAAACTACCCCGCCTCATGCAGCGATGTGCTATGATGTCCAGCAGTGCTTGAATGTTTATACCTGTGCGTCTGGGGACACGATGGTGTGTGAGCCAACAGACTATTCCAATGGGAATGGGCTCTGCCAATGTATTAAAGGGAATCCCAGTTGAGATAGGTAATGTGGTATGGCATGGCGCGGAGTGCGGTGTGCATGAATGTACCTGATAGTACTGGACAGTAGGGGTGAGGAGGGCAGTGGTTTGTAGAATCTAGAAAGGTTTGATGATAATATGATGATAGTCATTACTATATAAAAGCATATAAGAGCATGTAGAATCTATTATATATATAAGGAAGCTACTAAAATTTCTCTGGGTCGCTAAGACTATATTGCTGGCTGTGGGGTCTTTTTATATCTCCCAGAATTATTATTAAGGCTCTGAAACCTGGCATGAGGAGATGCACAACTGTGAATATCTAGCTAGCCTCAAACATTCACTGCGCAAACATTCACCTTGCGCAGTGAATGAGATGTTCTAAAAGGGCTATGTGAACAAAGACTTACATAAAGAGAAACACATTATAACACCACAGTGAGACATAAAGAGGTGTTGTAATGAGTGATATAGTAGGCATCCTTTATGAGGGTTTTCTTCAGATAAAGGAAAGAAGGGAGGTTTTTTAGCTTGAGCAGCCTCACAGGCTACTTTCTGCTTTACATCTCTTTTGTTTATCTTTTACCTCTCTTTATTATAATCTATTCCCTGTCTAGTACTTCCCTGCGCCCTTATTTAGTGTAATTACTAACTCTATGCTAACCAGTAGGTAGGCAAACCTATGCCTTAGGTGAAGTCGCATGGCTATAAAGACCCATCAGATCAGATATTAGAACTAGAAAACCTCTTGTATAAAATCCCTCTTCCTTTTGCCTGCAGCTTGAATCCGGGGGTTACAGCCCCTTAGGCGGGCCACAAAAGAGATCCTATATGCATACTTCAGAGCCTATAATAGTTGTCTGAAGAACTCTTTATTGTGACTTCACTTTAGGATCTTTAAAGATACTTTCATCCTAACAGAGATAAAGTCTAACCTTACCCTTACTTCTCTACCACCTCATCTTTTAACCATCTCTCACTTTCTTTTACCCCTCTCTCACTTTCTTATTCACATCCTGCTTAGGTTCTAACTTTAATCTCACTTCCCTTAATGCTTATCTTCCTTGTACACTATACTAATCCTTAACCTTACTTTTTAATAACTATTACTATGATACCACTACTGCCTACCAGATCTCTAGACTACCTATAAAATGATCCTTCTCCTCCCTTTCTGTCTCTCTCTCCTTTCTTCCCTTCTCATCTACCTACTGTGCCATGGACACCCTTGGGAAGGGACCATCTACTGCCTCTCCTGTATAGATGGTCACTTCCTGGGGGTGTCCACTTCATACCATCCTCATTATCTTCTTCCTGTGAGTATACTGTCTTAGGCTGCTTCTTTACATACCTGCAACCTATAAGGTGCCCCATCATAATACTGATAAACTGTGATTAGAGCTATGAAGATATCATAGTCTAGTGATGTATATGTGCTCATCAAGCTCTATCAAACTCTAGGCGACCAGCGCGCACCTGACTTGGGTTTATCACTATAGAGATAATTGCGAGGCTGTATCTTCTTTACCTAAGATGCCATTCAGCAACCAGCAGTTTAACAGTCAACCTTCTTTTGCTTAGTCATATTCTTTCGCTCGGTTAATTTCGACCCTTCTTGCTTTGGAGACCTGATCTCGCAAACTATGGATAAGGACGACCTTAATTCTTTGAAGATAATCCAGCCTCTCCTTAAAGATCCGATCTCACAAATTATGGTCAAGGATGACCTTAATTCTTTAAACATACTCCTGGAATTAGCAGCACAAGCCCTACACAGAGATATTTCAGAAGTGGCTCGCCAGGGTGGTAATTATCAAGGGATTACTTTCCCTGGGCTTGCTATTCTCTTTCAAGCAAGGAATATCCTTAACTGGCTCCTTGAAGGCCCGGAACGCAAAACTGCCATTAGTTATTTGCTGTTTGAAATCTGCAAACCCGGTAATTGCCTGGATGCTGTAATAAGGGCTGGTAGACTTAAAGAATTTAAGAGATTAGCAAGACATGTGGTGGCAGCTCATGCACTGCAGCCCCATCATGGTATACGTCCTAGAGGCTGCTGGACAATGCATAGATCACACCTTATCACTATATGCTACTATGGATCTGTGGACTTTTTGGACAAGGCCATCGAATTTAGTGCAGATCTTACTCAGATTCGTGATAACGACCCATTCATAACTGTGCTTGATGCTGCACTTCAGAACCCAGCCCTAACTTTTTTGGAGACCCTGTTTCAACGGCTTCAGGGCATTCCTGGTACCGATATGACGGTGTATACTGGATATCAAGATGTTGAAGGGAGACCGTTGCTCCTCTAAGCCATTGATCTTGCCTCTCAGGCACCCCAGTTCCGCCCTGGTGATCTACTCAGGGTTTTTCGCATACTACGTGAACAGGGCTGTAACTTTCAGGCTGTTAATGATAATGGGCACTCAGTCTTACACCTTGTGATGAGATATTTCGACCTTGAACTTCTCCAATAACTTCATCAGGCTGGAGCTATAATCAACCAGGGGAATACCATGCAAGCTGGATCACCGGCACATACCTTGATTAAGGCAGTTCTTGAGCAGTTTGATACCCTAGAAACACAAATCATTGATAATTTTATGGGGCGGGCGAAACGCATTGCATTATGGCTGAAACAGGAGAATTATGATCAGGCTATTAAAGATGCTTAAGGACGTACTGCTATGGCATTAGACTGGACAGGAAAATTAACCTTAATCACTGAGGAACTTCAGTGACTGCTATCAGCTATGATGGAATTGTTTTTATTATTTTTTTTATAGGTATTTACAATGTCTTTATTCTCTTAGCTACTTTGCATACTATAATAGCCAGAGTGAACTATCATTTAAGTACAGAATTTTGATTATATAATACTGCTTATTACTACCTTATAGTTAGACGCATTTAATTAGTTCAATGAGTTCAATGAGTATGAGTTTAATGAGTTCAGCGAGTTCAATAAGGGTCAAGATGGCCCGTAGGATGCAAATCACTAAGTAACTGGTCACCAACAATGAATGAACAGTCTGGACTGAGTATATCTGCAGGATGGACTTTCAAGGCATAGAGCTGCTGTATTTCCACCCCGTATATCAATAATAAAATATGTGTGTGCTGGACGGACGGCCAAGATAGCCCGCAGGATGTAAATGACTGCTAGCTGCCGGAGAAAGTATGGCTATGACTGCTTGGAATTGTTGCATATCTGTGCAATCAGCCAATCAACACCGCCGCGAGTAGGAGGTAGAAGAGAACATATGGATTTGGATAATGCCCTATGAGAAATTATATTCTAAGAATGCATCAGCTACTAACTGTCATGTGTAGAACTGCAGGGCCTATGTAGAACCGCAGGGCCTACGTGACATACTATAAGAAGAGTATCCCAGACACAAAGAAGACAGGCCCTCCCACCTGTGTATGCAATCTAGTTGGGTATATAGCTTCTAAGATTAGGAAGATCTAGAATCTGGAATCTGTTAGCAGGCATGATCGCGGAGGAGAGAGGTATTACTAGACTGGTTGTGGATTGGATATGGGTTGATCCTCTACCTATCCAACCCACCCTCATAAATAATCTTCATATTGATGTCTTTGGTTTTCTGTAGATTAGGAGATAGAAGGCAGAGCAAGGGTACTTACTATGAAAGAGTAGCTAAAATTATACATATAGAGTGGCTATAACCACTCTTTATCTGTTTCAAGTCTGGTTTAATTTAATGGTAGTATTTTGCAGTCTAAAAGAGCCTTTGTGCCTGAAGCATACACACCCCTAGAATAAGGCTAAATATTTCTTTCATTAACAGTTCTATAATTGTAGTAGCCCCTAACTTAACCTGCGGAAACACAGCTAGGCTAAGCCCCAGGAAATATCATAAACACCAGACTGAGCGAGCTGAACAAGCTGGATGAACGGAACAGACTGGACAATAGAAGATGGATGAACTGCACGAAGTAGACAACTAGACGAACTGGACAAACTAGATGAACTGGACGAGCTGAACAAGCTAGATGAACTAGATGAACTGGATGAACTGGATGAACTGGATGAACTGGATGAACTAGATGAACTATGAATGTCTACTCTATTATATGTTATAGGAAACAACAAGGGTACATAATTTTTGAAATCCAATTTCACAAGCTCTTTAAATTATAACCTTTTTCATACCTTTATAATCCCATGTGTTGCTAAACGCCAGGTGATGCATATCTATTATATAACATGAGAAACACACTGTCACTCAGACATTAGAGGGATACTGCATCCATTAACCAGGGACTGATAGTTAGCAGAACAGAGTTAAGAACAGCACTTAGATGTGAATGCCGATGCCAGATGCTAAATGAGGCGACAATACCCAGAGAGGCAATCCATCACACATTAATGGTGCCATTTAGGGCCAGGAAGTCAACCCGGAGATCCTCTATAGTAATAGGTTTAGCCAGAAGTGTGCTGCTCTGCTCAGCCAACACTATTAATTTCCAGCAATTACCTTGCCATGTGAAGATCCGCTGTTCATATTCCATATTTGGCACAATGAAGCAGAAGCAGAATGTATATAGATTCTTCTGGCCTAATCAGCAAATCCGCGCAAACGCCTGGTCTTCGACACCTTCCAGATAGTCAGGCTCAAAGAGGACGGCCCGGAAGGCATGAGTACAGGTATAGCCAGTCCCAATGACCCCAGTGGTGGACACAAGGATGCCTGGACTTTGAATCTTCACACCTTCCTCAGTGACTTCAGTTCCAGTGTCATGATTCTGAAAGGCATCCACATACAGCTGGTGATCCTTATCGGCTGCTAATAAGGACTTCACATACTGATCCGGAAACACATCTGCCAAGGCCTAGGGGTGCCAGACATGGGTAGATCAGTACCAATGATTAATCGCACTAACAATAGATCAGGAAAGAGAGTAGGAACTTACCAGCTGTAAGATGTATACCATGATAGGATGCTTTGTCATCACCAAGAGCTTCTCCAGTCAGCTATTTATATCTGTAAGGCCCTCCCTGACCATATCACACAGATGCTTGAACTTCAACGACCTACTTGTAACCATAGCTAGGTTCTTTGCAATAGCACATCCCATCTCAGCCTTACACCATCCAACAAGATCCTTCCAAGAGTATAGTAGCTTATCAAGACCACCTATCTGGGGAGCAAGATCCACAAGTCCTGGGAAGCTAGTAAAGATTCAGAGCTATATTAACTTCCACAAACCTGCTTAACTAAGTTTCCCTCTGTGCTCCTTGCCTGCCTTCCAAGCTTCTTGTTTAGCGACTTGGATCCTATCCAGTTCACTCAAAAGGTCGGAATCCATTGGTCTGATTATATCAAGGTATTCACCTAGGACGGGGCAATCCATATCAACTTTTTTATCCGGAGGCAGTTCGATAATTGATGCACCAAACCATCTGGTGTCAACAGTCCACCAAATAAACCCCAGTGTGGTGAGGATCAGTTTGAATTTTTGAATGACAGGCCCTAGCTGAGCATCATGCTTATTTGCCTTCTTGGAGAATTGCCAACCAAGATTCCAAATCTATTCAGAGGTACAGTATCGCAGTGTTAGGTGCTCCTCCCACTTATCAGTCTCCAGCACACCAATGTAGGCGGCTATATCACCAGGCAATATCTCAAATAGTGTGCCACTTAGCAGCCATATAGCTAGTGAATTCAAACCCTTAAGAACAGCAACAGTAAGCCCTCCTTTTTCACCCTTCTCCTCATAACACTCATCCTAGATTGCATGCGCAAATCACGTGCCGAGCATACTAACTCTTTGAACTTGTTTAGGCCTGGAGCCCGGGCCACTTGCAGGGGTGGGGACTATTTCTTTGATAGTCAAGGGTTGCAGCACCTGCCTCTCAACACTTTGAGGAGTTATAAGGATCACAAACCAGCCTGCATCTTTAGGAATGGTACCCTTGCCCAGTTAACAGGCAGCAAAATCTGCTTGATTTTGCTCTATATGTCAACTCTCATCTAAGCTCTTCATGCAAGCTTTTGCTGCAGCCCACCATTCAACCTCAGTAATCATAAGCTCATGCTTGTCCCTATAACCCTTAACAAAGGGAATTCCCTTGATTAAATTACTATGCCCAAGGAGCAGCGTCATACACAGTAATTAGTATGCTTCAACTATGTTAGTCCACTCCTTCTCCCACACAGAAATGAGGCGACGAGGGACGAGAATCAAATTCAAGCCATCACAGGTCAATATATATCAGGCAGTAGGGCCTGACTACATGCATAGACAGCATATGGGAAAATCTGCCGCACTTAGGCACACATCCTCAGGCCCTTGGCCATCAAGTAAGAGATGTTTGCCATCATCAGCAGTGCATGACTCCTCCACAGCCTGTGTGGCTACCTGTAACCAGCGGCTAACAACACAAAGTGCAATGGCGGTCCGGGTCTACATCTAGTAAGAAAGCCTGGGTTAGTATTCATGTTGTAGGTTGATGATGCCTAGATGGCGGAGGGACTGTGTACCTTGCCTAAGCCCATTGTGTCCGTGAGATATCCTCCATTCAGGGTTTTCTCCATGGTTAGCATCCAGTAGGCCGCGTAGGCCTGGTAAGGGCTTAGTAGACGACGCATGCCAGGTATGCAGATTTCCTCTTTAGGGGTTTTCCCAAAGTCATCAGGTTACTTAAAGAACTTCAGGCAGTTCCCCCAGGTCTTAAGATCGAACCGATCAAGCGTAAATGAGGTCTGGAAGTTCTGTAGTCTGGACTCAAACAGATTAGCAAGAGCAGCCAAAGTCATCCATATAGCAGGCAGGAGGAAGGTAATACAGTGAGGCACTAAGCATACTTGCACCAGTCAGATCATACACAGCTAGATAATTTCCCCTAAGCCCTCCAAGTATCTCTGCAGTCTCACTCTTCATCTTAGTGTCTTCATCTGAGAGCACATCATCAAGGAATATCTGCTGAGGGGATTGTCGGACGCTCCTCAGCTTTACCAATCATACTTATGAACAGATGACGAAGCTCTGGTGTATAAGCACCTTTATTGTCTTTGCAGAAGCTGCACGGATTAGCCACCTCAGTATTTAACTAATTATTGAGGTCTGGGAGAATAGACTGCTGTCTCAAGATCTAACCAACCATCTCACATCCCTCCAGCATGAGGATCTCGGGCTTGGACTTAGTATAGACAGATTCTGAATTTTCAGAGTGAATACATGATTAGACTTAAGGGTATTAGCATTAGTGATGCCATTGTTGGTAGTATTACTATTGGAGGTGATGGGACGCTTGATGGTTGTCATGTTTGTGAATTCTGGGAAAATCCCCAGGTAATCTTAGTGCCAGGATGCAAACAGCACGTGTATCCTGTATTAGTCTTAGAAGATCATGAGACACCTAGAAGTTCAAGTAACAGTTAGTGCATGCTGGGTGGAAGTGGTTCATATAATAATACTAACCAATTATTGAGGTCTGGGAGAATAGACTGCTGTCTCAAGGTCTAACTGACCATCTCACATCCCTCCAGCATGAGGATCTCGTGTTTGGACTTGATGTAGACAGATTCTGAATTTTTGGAGTGATACCATAATTAGACTTGAGGGTATTAGCATTAGTAATGTTATTATTAGTAGTATTACTATTAGAGGTGATAGGGTTGCTGTAGTTACCAGGACTGAGACTATTAGCAGTCTAGTGTATGTGATTATAACCCAAGTAATTAGCCTTGGGCACAGCAAGAGAAAGACTGTCAGACAAACCTAAACCCTAGCATTGCATCAATAAAAGCCTTTTTTTAATCAGCATAGGTCAGGAGGATGCAGCAAGACAAGCCATGAATTATGTTTGCAGTAAAGAGCTACTCTATAGATCTGTGGGTCAGCAGGACCCCTAATATTTGATAGCTTTTATTATAGTCTTATGCAGCTGGTGTTGAACTAGGATTCTATTCTCCAGGATGGGTCCAGGTGTTAACCATAAAACCTAACCCATGACGTCCGCTTCGTGGTCCCAGGTCATAGGCATAATATCATGTTATTTTAATGAACATCATGCCATTACTGTTATTACTGCTACCTCAGCACTGGCTCCCACATCACTATTATCAGGTTCCAAGGCCGTCCTGGCTGGCTGTGCCATGTCTATTTACATAAGCAGTCTGGTTATCCTCAATGCCTGTGGCGGAGGTCCTGTATCTTCTTAACCAGGGACTTCAATTGTTATATCTTTCAGCTTATCAACTTTCAAAGAAAGGTTCTTTTGCCACACAGATATGTAAGTTGTAATGCTGTATGCCAGGTTATGGATGCCTAATCACCTCACAGAACAGTTAGTAAGATTGTTAAGAAACACAGAGATAGCCACAGGGAATCAAGAATATACTATCACCTTGCCTACCAGTAGGTTCCTTCCTAAAGCCTTTGTCTTGCTCCGGCTTCCTAATGCAATCAAGGACGCAGTCATTAGAAGATGCGCCCACATTGCTATTAAGGCATGGCCAATAGTCACCCCTATAGCAAAACATATGGCCATCTGACAGTTCAGATCAGGCCTGATTAATAGTCAGTCACCCTTTGCATGAGGGAAATATCCCTTAAAAGACATGCCTAATCATCCAAAGCCGGCATACCTTACTTACTCTGTTCTGGAGATAGCAGGAACACAAGAATGCTAGAGATAGAATAGAGGCAGTATGGCCTGCTAGGTATAAATATAAAATCAGTATGTAGTAGAGAATATAGATAGGGGTATAAGACATAGTAGGTAAAAGAAGGAAGGTTGCTTCTCCCTTTCAAGGTTGGCACTAGCAGCAACACCTAGAATAGTGACTATTGTTACTTTAATAAAGTGAATAATATGAATAGTGCTGAAGAGCCCTACCTTAAATGTCCCTCTTCACAGTGAAGAGCCGCTGCTTATACAAAGTAGAGAAGGTGAATAAATAAGGTTTTATAAAGAAGGTGAATAACATTGCTCAATTCTATAATAATTATCCAAATGACGTAGCTAAAACCCCAACAATATCAAATAATAGAAATTATACTAAAGGGTGATGGTTGAAGCTGTATTCATATCCTGATTAGGCAAGTCATTATAGTCAGCGGTGGTGAAGATTAAGACTTTATCTAGAACTCCCAACAATATTAAACAATGGAAATCATACTAATGGGTAATGGTTGAAGCTATATTCATATCCTGATTAGGCAACTCATTGTAATCAGCAGTAGTGAAGATTAAGACTTAGATAGTCTCAGTCAGGGCTCAGGCCCTTTTGATAGGACTCTGCTTCTGCGAATACACACCATTGTGTTAGAAAGCTTAGAACTATATGAGATTTCCCAATCACTTAGTAAACCGCATACGCAAGGGAGAGTCTTGACTGTTTAATTCTTTTCTAATCTACCTCTAACTATCGGGATCTTATACTGCTGGATGAGGCCTTCTGGATGAGAATTGTCGTGTAATAGGGGTAGCTACCTAGACTGGCTGACCTAATCCATAAATCCATATCCAACTCGCCCAATCCACACTTTGGGTTGGATCTAGGTAGGCCTGATCCAACCCATATGGATATGGGTTGAACCTGCCTAATCCACATGGATATGGATAACCCATTGGGTGCATGTGAATGATGTGATCATGTGATATAGGGCCTCTAGAAGCTAATAAGCTTATCTAACCTAACCTAGGCGTAGATAGGAGAATATTTTCATATCTATAGATAGAGAATAGTCCTATCTATCTATTTATAAAATAAAAACATTAGATCTACTAAGAGAAACTAGAGTTATAGTAGATTTTAGGATTTAAAGGATGGTGATTAGGATAGTAGTGGTAAGATATATATCTCTGCATTATCTTTTATCTTACCCTTAGGGGCACCCTACCTCCCTAATTAAGCCTATTTTAGGTCATCTTAGGGTTGTTATTTTTGCGGGTTGGGCTGGGTTCTCCGATCTTTTGAACCCAACCCGCCGGGTTCGGGTTCTAGATTTCTAGGGCCTAAACCCGGCCCATAACCCGGCGGGTTCTAGATAGTCAACCCGGCGGGTTCTATTCTGCCGAAAATTCTACACTCCGCCTACCTAATCTAGTTAGTATGTATTTAATTTTTCTATACCATACTAGCATCTATACTAGCATTCAAAATATATATATATAAATAATGCATTCTACATAGAAATCTAACCTAGGTTAGTGTATTCTAATTACTAGGTATTGTAATTAAAACCCGTTTTTAGAACCCAACCCTTAGCGGGTTCTAAGAATTAGAACCCAACCGACCCACGGGCCCTAGAACCTGAACCCAAACCCAGCCCATGGCGGGTTAGGGCCGGGTTGGGTTAGGGTTCCCGGGTTGGGTTTAACCAGTCTAGGTCATCTAATAGGTAATATATCATATTATATAATAGAATATATAGATATCTTAGTAGTGTGGCTAGAATACTAAAAAAGATAGGTAGTAATCTAAATACTAGAGGTCACCCGACTAGGTAGTATGGATTGGATATATCCATAATCTAATCCACATGCTAGAATGGTTAGTTAGTGTATAAGAAATGGTAGTACAAAACTTACCTAGCTAGTGCCGATGCTAATCCTTTATTTGAGTTAGGACAATGACCAGCTTGACATCCCTCACATAGTTCACTATTATGGGGACCTCTGCTCTGCCCAGAAAAATACAGTTGCTGTACCTCAATTCTGTTCTATTTTTTAAGCTAGTATGTCACTCTTTCCGTATAGCACCCATGATCCAGGACTGGCCAACTAACGGCTCTGCAATTTTTGCATTGCTGGTGATACACTTGCGCATTATATAACCGTTGGGGGTACATGCGAATTGTAATCGCGATCTTTTTGCTTGACTAACCGCTGGAGTGACATCTGCTGTTTTAGTATATAAATCAGCCCATAACGTTCGTGTCCTATTCCTTGATGTTGGTTTCCTTATCATTAGTGTTGAAGAAGTCTAGTTAAAGCCCTTCCTCATTTAACAACTGTGCTATATCATTATGAAGCTTTGGGTGGAGCAACCATAATTTTGTGGCTTTGCGTCCTTTGCGTGGCATCTTGAATCTGGGTGCGTGGTAGTGGGATTTTAGGATGTTGAAAGCTTGCGTTGACAATTCGGAATTTGGCCTTAGAAAGGCTTATGAATACTTATTTAGGAGAAGGACTACCCTACTTAAAAGCAGAGCTGTACCTCTGGAGGAACAGCACATTGCTGCCATATCACAAATTAATTGGGAGATATATTTCATGTGGTGTAACCCATTCAGGCGTTGCTTCTGCCATACTCTGCCCACCAGGCTGCAGGCATAGCTGAGATAGAATAAAACCAGGTGAATGCCATGCAAACATACAGATAGATAAGCCAATACTTAATTCACGGGGTTTCTGAAGATGTAAACTGGGGAGTGTGGCCTACAAACTATGTAGAAATGACTAACCTGGGATACAGTGGAGGAATAAGCAAGTCTAATAGCTTATATAAGTTAAAAGCATAAGCGTGACTGGGTAAAGTCTAATTAGAGTATTAATATACCCGCCACATTAATCGTAGTAGAAGTTTATGAAAACTTTAATAATGATCTCTTGCTGAGATTCATGCTCTAGTATACTTGAATAGAACCTTGAGTTCTTCCTGGATATTGTTCAGAGAATAATCTTATTATGTCTGACCAATAGAGACTCTGATCCCTCTTTAACTTTACTAAGAGCTCCTCCTCCTCCAGTAACCATAGTGTCCCTTTCCTAGAATTCTCTTGGTGCGTCCCACGGATATTCTGAGCTTTGGGGCTGGCCTCATGAGTCTAAGCCTAATAGTAGGTTAATCATACGTCTCCCCTCTCGTGCGTGGATGCTTTTAACAAAATGTGGGTGGCATGTTCAGTGCATGATGGTGGGATGGGGCTCAACCCACGCGGAGAGTGAGATGGTAGATGATTAACAATGTCTAGAAGGAATGTAAGGAAGTATGCTTGATGCTGGCCATGAGGTTGAATATAGATGATGCCATGGCTGAAAATCTCCTGTGTCTCACCAGGACTAGGGAGAAAGTTAACTCCAGATGGGGCCTTAAGTGTGGCTATTAAGCCTTTAGAGTGACACCTGGCGGAAACTGAGGTGTTCTGAGCAGTCTTTGAGGTTATATTCCACCGACACCTTTTCTGCGGGTGTTCCCTGCCATCAGCAGCAGCATTTCTTGTGAGCAGAGAATGGCTTTTAGTGAAGCTGTCTGTTGGCTGGTCTTCTTTGCTATCATAACTCGCACTAGCTTAGTGAAAACAGTGTGATGGCTGCATAAGGGAGTCCCTGGAAGTTCTTGCCATTAAGCTGGCTGATTGATGGACTGGGATTACCACAGTAACTGAAGGTGTCTGATCACGCCGGTTGGATTCTGTATTCACTTAAGAGCGAAGTACACGGCGAGGAGGTGAGTTTAACCTTAATTGCTTTCCCTTATGTTGTGGTTGCAAGTTTAGGCTAGGGAGGATAGATATGTTGTTATCTTTATAATCAGTACTAGCGTCCCTGCTTGAGGCAATGCTGGGCGTAGTAGTCGGTGAATTAGATGTACTAACCATCAAGGCTCTCATCTACTCTCTACAGCATGCTGCCTCAGATGGTAAGTCCTTAAATATGATTCTATGGTGTTGACCAGGTCGAGCGCGACCCTTATTCTTAGGTAATGCAAGGTTTGACAAGGCCGGCGAAGGTAGCTGAGAGTTGTGATGCTTTGGAACACAGTCTATCATTATTGTCTGCTTTTCGGCCTCGCATCTAGATAAGGATAATTGAAGACAGTCTGAGTTACCTGGTAAAGTATTGACTGCACTAACAGATCGTCCTGCCATATATTTATTAGTGGAACTAAGAGGAATAGGTGCATAAAACTACCCACCACCTAAGTAGCCTGAGTCTGCTTCTGCTGTGGTGATGATCAGACTAGAATAGATAGTATCACCTCATGTCTATGGGCATATGTCTAGCTGGTCTTGTAAGGCCCTTCTTCAGGTAACTAATTAATTCCCTCCTCCCTCGCCTCCCCTATCTCCCTGGCAGTCATCGGTGCCTGCTGGTATAACTGGGAGCACTAACATCCTTAAACTAGTTACTGCCTGGAGCATTAGCAGAGACTCCCCTAATACCATCACAGATATTTTCTATGTACTAAGAGTAGGAGAAGCATCCTGGCATTAATCACCAAGGTCATTTCTGGCTTGGGACTTGCTTTGATGGTCTGCCTGTAAGTCAGCCTCTCTCTTAACCAGGCTGTTTTCTTGAGTAGGGACATTCTTAAGCTCAATATCAAATATATTGCGAGGGGCAGTGAATTAGAGGTGCCCTTTAATCATGGAAGGTGGGACAGCTGCTACAGTGGCAGGAGGTTTGGGGGGAAGGGGATGTGAAAATAAAAAGGGCTGGGGAGCAGAGGGCATATGGTATGACTTCCAGCTGGAAGAAGATAAGGTGTGTGCGAGAGGTTTGGGAGGAGGGGGATGATGGTAGAAATTAATATTATTAAGGCTGATCATGACTTCTAAAGGTCTTCAGAGAGAGATTTCTTTTAATGGCTCAGGGTAGCGGGAAGCTAATGCTAGAACTAAGTAGATAGGGTGGTTTACTTGAATGCCAAACATCAAGAGGGGGTTATAATTTATAAAGTAAAAGAATAGAATCCTAGCAGCCCCTAAGCCTCATAACATATATCAGCACTGTAGTAACAGGAGACCAGGCTGGCTTATCCTCTCTCACAAAAGTCCAAACACCTCAAAGTCGCTTTCCTATATATAAGCCGAAATCAGCCCACCACTTCACTACTTCTGAATGATGGAGGCTTCAAATGGATAGAAAAATAATAGTCACATGATGCAGAACACGCAGTCAGTGGAGCCATCATAATTCCGCGGCAGAGGCGTCCCCTGCTGGTTAAAGTCTGAATGCAACCTCGCTAATCCAGTCCGCCAATCATTGAAAGCGTCGCGTTGTGGAGGAGTGATAATGACACTGGGAATGGCCCTGCCACGTCATCTTCTGAACATGAGGTATTTCTGCTATTAGCGTACCGCGTTTTCCTACCCAGGACAGAGGATGGGAAATAAAGCCACTGTTCAGCTGAAGCACCCCAGCGCAGAAACATGGACCATTGCCTAGGGAAGCCTAGTTTTCCCAACTAGGATCTGTGTGAGGGCTGTGCATCAAGATGGCAGGCTAACTGCCAGTGATTGTCTTGTGGCTTCCATTGGGATTGGTCCACACGCGTGACTTGACCTCAGCTGGTGGAATCAACTGGCTGCATGAGCCAGTTGGGGTCGCTAAAGGAAGGGGAGAGAAGAGAAGGGGGCTGAGCACTCATTTCTGGATGTGACAGGGATCAGGGGGCCGGTGGGGGTGCGACCCACACAAAAAATAAGAGTTGCGAGGGCAGTAGCAGATGAAGGAGGGAGGGACCATGAGGCGACGCACTAGCAGTCTTATATAGTTGAGGGAGAGAGATAAAGGCAGTATGGGGCGGCAATTCTGCTTCAGGGATAGTGTCACACACTAAACCTAATATGACACGCACTAAACCTTGTCAGGGTCCGGCGAGACGGGCGCTAAACCGGAAAAGTGTGGTTGCCGAAAACGGCGTCCCTCTGGTAAATACGAATTGTCCTGGTAAGCTTAAGCACTTTATAGGTGTAAGGATCTACTGGGCAGGGTAGATAGCCTGTTGACTAGGTAAGGATTGGTAATGATTATAAGGAGAAAAGGAATAGTATATTTAGTTAATCCCCTTTATATAAGACTAATCCTTGTCTTCCTTAAGACAGATAAGGAGGAAGTGTTCCTATATACCTTTATTAATAGTTTAATAGCACTTTGGCCATGATATATAGATGTAGGTGGGTGATAGTATATATAGATATAATATAAGGTAATGATATAACCGAACAATATAATGGCCCATACCCGGGGGGGGCATCATACTAATCCTAGGGTTGGCAGGGGGGGGGGGAGGAGGGTAACTCATACCCCCCCTAAAATGATCAAATCTTAATATTTTTAAATGATTTAAAATTATTTATGATTCTAGTTAGCTAAATTATTATATTCTAATATTAAATTCTAGATTAGTCACTAGGAAGGTGGTCAACTAGGGGGTAGGGTAAGGTCGAATTTTTTTGTTGGGGTATGCCAAGACCACAATCTGCGGGAAGTCTATACCCTTTTAGGCCACCACCTAGTATAGATTAGTGCCTAAGGCATCTATTAGCCTAGGAGAGCCTTAGAATTCAGGCAGAAATTCTGAGAAAAATAATTTCTAGTATTTATAAAGAGTCTAGTACTAGATGACTAATAATAAATATTTTTAGTAAATAGTAGGGACTTTTAGCTATAGAATGATAATAGTCTGATTATGTAAGCATAATTCCTGATTTTTTAAAAATTCTTAAAAGACACTCTGAAATTTATTACCTGCTGACTAATTATAGCTATTTTTAGTGAATAGGCCTTATTTTAACTAGAAGAATGATATATAGCATGCTTAGTGATACTAGGCCTAGAATTTTTAAAAATTCATAGAAGTTAATGTTTTGTGGATTTCATTTAGAGAGTAGGTCTAGACTTAGTGGTCTAGTAGGGAGAGGCCTATAAGCAGGCTACCTAGACTAGATGTTTCAGCTTTGATAGGTCCCTGTGTGGGGTATCTCAACTAGGTGATTCGGCTGCAATAGGTCCCTGTGCGGGCTATCTCGACTAGTTGATTTGGTATGGCTCAGCCTAGTGATTCGGCTTCAATAGGTCCCTGGTGTGGGCTATCTATCCCACAGGGGATGGAGCACCAAGGGCATGGTGGATTTAGGGTGTAATATTGTATTGGCTGGTAGTGCCCCACATGAGGGCATGGTGGATTTAGAAGCAAGGTGCATGGTGGATTTGAATACTGTAGGCTGATTAAGCTCAGATTTTATAGGAAGATAGAGTAGGTAATTATTTCTTACATAGATAAATTTAAGGTCTATAGATGCAGAATTAAAGGTGTGGTGTGGGTACGAAACTACCTAGTTAGGAAGAATAGTTTTGTTGGGGGACTACCCGAGCGCACATTAAATTTAGGGGTAAAGGTATTTTCGCTCCTTTAAATTTATTTAACCTATTCAGATTTATTTGATTCCAGTTAATAATTATTATAGAAAATTAATTATCTTATAAGTTACCTACCCTAGGGATTGTTATTTGCTGTCAATGCAAGCATGGGGTGCGACCAGCTAAGGTAGAACTGCATTAATAGCTAGACTTTCATCGGTGCGGCCTCATGAGACTAAGGGATAAAGTCATAAGAGCTATTATAATTATATTCTATAGGTATATCATCCTAATAATTTTATAGATAGTATACCTAGCCCTTATTAATAACTGGATCAAATTTTAAGAGAATCTAAGCCAGAATAAAGTGATAGTTAGTGGTTGAATCCCACATGATTAATAGCTGGATTTTCGTGGGGTGCAGCCTCATGAGACTAAGGGATAGAGCAATAAGGGCCATCGCAATTAGATTCTATAGGTATATCATTCTGAAATTTCAATAGGTAGTATACTAAGCCCTTATGAATAACTAGATCAAATTTCAAGGGAATCTAACTCAGAATAAAGAGATGGTTAGTGGTTGAATTCTATATACTTAATAGCTGGATTTTCGCGGGGTGCGGCCTTATAAGACTAATAGATAAAGTAATAAGGGCCATCGCAATTAGATTCTATGGGTGTATCATTCTGAAATTTTTATAGATAGTATACCTAGCCCTTATTAATAACTGGATCAAATTTCAAGGGAATCTAACTTAGAATAAAGAGATGGTTAGTGGTTGAATTCTACATAATCAACAGCCGGATTTTCATCAGGTGCAGCCTCATGAGACTAACCATATCTTAGATTCAGGGGTAGAGATGTTTCCTCATCTTATTTATTTATTACTATTCATTCATGACTATCCATTCCATCCTTACTATTATGGAAAATCAATTATTTCATCAGGTGCCTACCTTAGGTATTCTTATCTGCCATCAATGCAAGCATGGGGTGCGACCAGCTGAGGTAGAACTGCATCTAAAGAGAAAGCATTACCTAAAGCAGGTAGTTACAAGCCAGATCACCAAGGCGATATCTAAATGGCAGGATATTCAGTATGATAGTAGCGCCATCCAGATACCTTAAGCATTAGATGAGCCGCTGCCTATATTGCCATCTTATTCTAACGGCCTCCTCTGCCAGCGTGATCCTGATTGCTTATTCATTGCCTCGACCATGAAGTTAATGTGAAAGCATTGGCAGGTTATTCACCAGTGGTCCTAGTAGAGTCATTACAGGCGGGTAGGCCCAAAGGAGAAGGCTAGGGGTGAGGCAGAGCTACAGCAGTCATTTTAATATGTCTTATGGCAGCAGGTGTTCCCGAGTGGTCTAGGGTCCCACTATATCTATATTTAATATCCAGATGGGGTCCCCCACCCCCATCTACCCAGGGCGTGCAGGCTGTGGTGGATGAGGTGGTGCAGGCCTGGGAGCAGGCCCAGGCCTGGGCTAAGGCTGATCAGGCCATCCAGGCTAGCCAGCTGACTGACGTGAACCCCTGGCTGCGGATGACTCAGTGGGCCGACTATCTGCAGGGCACCCAGGCCCATGACCTGCTAGCCTGCGTGGCAGCCCCAGAGGAAGATCCCTAGGATGCCACTGAGCAGCGCGTGTAGGTCATCTGGGCCACCATGGAGCAGGTTGCCTGTAAGAGCTAGTAGACAGTCCAGCATTGCAGCCAGGCCATCTGGGTGGAAGCCGTCCGGTCTAAAAAGGGGCAGACCCTATACTAGCTGCTGCTAGCATACATGGATGAGGCTGCGGTCCAGAAGCATGTCTGTCCATGGCAGTAGATATTAGCATTCATTGCCTGCACGCAGGCCCCGCACGGCTGGACCAGCCCGAAATATGGGATGACTATGTGGTAGCGCTAGAAATGGCGGTAGCTGTGGCAGCTTGCTAGCCAGGCTGTAGTTCCAGGGGACTGGGAGGACTGGGAGGACCAGGAGGACCTAGAGGACCTGGAGAACCCAGAGGACCTAGAGGTATGGGTGATGACTGCTATAGAAAAAGCATGCTTAGAATTTTGTATTAAGCTGCTTAACCAGCACCATTGCAGCTATAAATATGAGAGTGCATTAGTATGCGCCATGGCCATACTTGGTTAGGGTGAGGCTGGCTGGCAGGACCCAGAGAGCTACCCACTAATATTATCCTACGTGATTAAGGTGGCCTGATTCATGGTGGTCTAGAAAGCATTATAGATGGACCTGAATCTATGGCAGATTATTTAGACCTGGATATAAAAGGACCAGAGCGCTGAATGGGTCCTAGCTAGCGCAGATGATTAACTTGGGGAGATTGATGAGGGATATGGCAGTAATGACCCCTGATTATCATCACCATCATTACCACTATCATCTATCTATAGCAATGATCCATTGCCCGTGGTTAACATTTGCCAGAGCTGCTGACCATTCCAGGAGCAGGTGACATGGATGATGCACTAGTTTATGATCTGTGGGACACACAGCCCCATGGAAATATTGCTAGACTGGTGTATATATGGATTAAAGGTCCATTATAATTATACTGCGCCCAGACATGTGATGTGGATGGGTGAGGACTAGTTATTATACTAGTAGATGGTGTTCACGATGGGGGATTTTTGGGGATTCATCCATGGATTAGTGACTGCAGTGAAGGAGATACTAGGCTATTTGTGCATGTAGGATTATGTGCAGATGCCCGCTATTCCCTGGACGGCATTATATAATGATCCCAGCCAGACCTAGGCGGGGTGGAACTTTCTGCATGATGTATAGACCCAGTGGCTGGTGGATGGGACCCACTGGATGATTAACTGGCTGTGGGCTGAGCTGGTCATGTAGTGGCATTTTCTGTGGGGCAGCTAATTCCACCCTGCTGCCATCCAGTAGTATTGGCAGCGCGTGGCCTAGTTTAAGGAGAAATTAGTAATTATTGTGCATGTCACTGTAGGGCAGCCGGCCTGGGCCCCAGAGTTATTAAGTATTCAGTATTGCAATATGGCAAATAGTCAACAGCAGAATATATATATTAAGGATGGCATGGTGATATTTATGATGGCATATCATAAGGGATTCCATGCTAGTAATGATGTTAAGATCATCTATTGATATGTGCTGCGGGAGGTTGGGGAGTTAGTAGTATGGTATATATGGCTGGTGATGCTATTTATTAATTAGTTAGCTGCATGGCAGGCGGCGCAGGTGGCGCAGGGAAGTCACACTGTGCGAAGTCATGATGTATATGCATGGTTATGAGGCCCTGACCCTGGTACTGATTGTGAATGGTCATCCAAGTGGTTCCAGGAGGTGTTGAAGTGGGAAACCTGCACCTAGCTTGGTGCTGCCATCCATATCACAGTGTACTGGGACATTGCTATTAGAATTAGTTGCTGATTTTTGTAGCCATCCACCGCGTTCCCCCATAATATCTAGGAGGTGGAGCCGGCCCCAGCTACTATAGATGCTGATGCTGAGGATGCCATGGATATTGAGCAGTGGATGGGATATATTACTAATCTATAAGCCGCCCATTCATCACATATGGCTAGTATGGTATATGGCTGTGGCATCTAGGAACAGGCTGGCAGCACTGGGCACCAGTGGGAGATGTTCTAGTTATCTAGCACTAATTAGCATTAATTTTTAGGGTTTGGGGCCCCCTAATCCACATTAGGCAAGCGCAAATGGGCCCTGTGGGAGGATGAGGCTGAGGTCAGCCGCATGGAACGCTGGCACTAGTTGGCAATAATGGATCTGGAGGCCACTGTGCAGTGCATGATGGGGCAGCCTGCCATGCAGTTCTAGGGCGTCTAGGACCCAGCCATGCGCGCCATCCAGTGGGGGAGAGCCCTGTGGTTATAGTAATGCCTACTGGTGGGGGAAAGAGCATGCTATTTATAGTGCCCGCGTTTGCTGCCCCTGGGGGCATAACTGTTGTTATGGTTCTGCTTGTTGCATTACAGGCTAATATGACACGGCAATACTAGGAGCTTAGCATATCATGCATGCTATGGGAGAGCTGGTGGCCCCCTAATACTATATCCATTGTGTTGGTGATGCCTGAGTCCGCAGTGAGCCCTGATTTCCAGACATTTTTGAACTAGCTGTGGTGGACCCGGTGGTTAGACCAGATCATAATTAATGAATGCTATGTGGTGTTGAATTCCCAGCATGATTTCCGGCCCCAGATGGCTTAGCTGGGCTGGTTAGTCCAGGCCTGCACCTAGATGGTATGGTTGACCACCATATTGCCCCTGAGCATGGAGGCTAAATTATGCTAGCAGATAAAGTATGACCAGGCTGCTATAACTATATACTGGGCCTGGACTAGCTGGCTGAATGTGGCATACTGGGTGTGGTGGCCAGACATGACCAGGGTGGGCTGGGGGCTGTATTAGTGGATTAAGAGTAAGGTGGTGGTGGTATTTATTCAGGACTGCATCTGACAGGCCACTGGGGGAAGGTGATTATATATATGAATATCATTAGGCAGGTGATGGCCATGGTGTGGGTGCTTAGGTGTGAGGTATATTACAGTGAGCAGTTGGACAAGGCTGGGGTGCTAGCGCGGTTTATGAGGGCTAGCCCAGTGATTACTGCCACCAGCGCGTTAGGCATGGGGGTGGACATCCCTAATATCTATAGTATTATCTATATTAGGACCCCCTGGACGTTACTAGATTACGTGTAGGAGAGTGGCTAGGCTGGGTGAGATGGACAGTGCAGTGAGGCAATCATTATCTAGCCAGCTGGGTGGGATGCCCTAGCTCTATGGATGGAGGGCGTCGCCCCTAAGGACTAGGAGCAGGTTGCTGAGTATATAGGGATGGTAGAAGGCATTGGGTGCCGCCAGGTTGTGTTAGATTAGTATTTAGATAGAGTGGTGGATGGGTATCAGCGGTGGTATTACCAGGATGCAGATGCTGGGGAGCAGGCATATGATAGGTGTGATCCTAATTAGGAGGGGTGGGAGGTGGATCCAGCTAGGGTTGGTAGTAGCCCTGTGCTGGGTGAGCAAGCCCTAGAGGCCCCATGTGAGGCAGGTAGTGAGGCAGGGAGAGAGGCACCCTAGGTTAGCTATAGCTAGCTGCTGTGTGAGCTCCCTAGGGAGGCTGCCAGTCCTACCCCATCTAATAAGTTATTTTGAAGCCAGCCATCCATTCCTATGGCGGTATGGAATGCCCAGCAGGCGCAGGCCTAGTAGTAGGCTGCTATGGATATCTAGCAGCAGTAGCATCAGACCTAGCAGGGTTTGGATGAGGAGATGGCCCAGGCTGAATGCATGCAGTGGCAGGACTAATGTTATATATGCGCCATGCAGGGGAGTGATGGTGGCCATGAGTTATATGCATGTCATCAGCCCCACAGCCAGGCCGCATGGGCATGGATGATCTGCGTGTGTCAGCAAGTGCAATATGCCCTGTATAGTGTGTGTTTTTTGTGTGGCATGCCCTAATCCATATGCTGTGGGTGGGAGCCGGGCCATGCATGCAAATACCACAGGTTTTTAATCCCCATGGTGGCCATGATGTTATTTAGGCTATGGCAGGGCCAGATCAAGCCTGTATGGCAGTGCTGGTTACAGGGAATGGGGGTTGATGGGCAGGATGAGGCCCAGGTAGTCTAGTTTTTAGGGCAGGTGCACCCTAACCATGAGGGGCACAGCCAGTTATTTACATCATTTTATTGGTTATGGTGGTTATGTCAGGAGATCAAGGTTGATCAGCATTAATATATTTGGGAATGAATATATATTTTAGTATACCATAATGCGCAGAGATATATATTATACAGTTGGTTTATATAGTATGTTAGCCGAATCAGTGGTTTATAAATATGTATATATATAATATCAACCATAGTTATGATAGACATAGGTAGTAGGTAGGGAGGGAGCAAGAGAGACAGTAGGTAGATAGTAAGGTAGGCAATGAGGTAGACAGGAAGGTAGATAGGGAGGCAGATAGTAAGGTCATGCATAAGGCAGGCAGCAAGACAGGCAGTGAGGTAGACAGAATAGGAGGTAGAATGGGAGGTAGAAGGGCAGGTTAAATAGTAGGGAGAATAGCAGGCAGCAAGATAGTAATCAGGATAGCAAGCAAGGTAGTATAGTAGATTATAAGGCCCTAGGAAGGTCATGCATGAGGCAGGCAGAACAGCAGGCAGAAAGTGAGATAGGTAGTGAGGTAGATAGTAAGGTTAATAGTAAGGCAGGCAGTAAGACAGGCAGTATAGTAGACAGTGAGGTAGACAGCGAGGTAGACAGTGAGGTAGACAGCGAGGTAGACAGTGAGGTAGACAGCGAGGTAGACAGCAAGGTAGACAGTAGGTAGGTAGTAAGGCAGGCAGTGAGGTAAGCAGTGAAGCAGATAGGAAGATAGGCAGTAAGGCAGGTAGTAAGGCAGGCAGTAAGGCAGGCAGCAAGGTAAGCAGCAAGGCAGGTAGTAAGATAAGCAGTAAGGCAGGTAGTAAGGTAGGCAGTGAGGCAGGCAGTGAAGGAGGTAGTAAGGCAGGTAGTAAGGCAGGTAGTAAGGCAGGCAGCATGACAGGCAGTAAGACCAGCAGGAAGAACCTAGTAAGATAGGTAGTATAGTAGATAGTAAGGCAGGCAGTGAAGCAGGTAGTAAGGTAGGTAGTAAGGCAGGCAGCAAGACCAGCAGTGAAGCAGGCAGTAAGATAGGTAGAATAAGGCCTAGGTAGTCCAGGTGGTCTAGGGTTTTAGGTTAGTGCATCCTAACTATAAGGGGCACCGCCAGTTATTTATATTATTTTATTTAGTATAGTAGTTATATTAGGAGATCAGGTTAATCAGCATTAATATATTAATGAATGAATATATATATTTTAGGATACCATAATGCGCAGAGATATATATTATATATTTAGTTTATAGAGTATATTAGTGAATCCATGGTTTATACACAGGGATATATATATAAGTGATATATTAGGGAATATATATCATATTAACTATAGTTAGGAGAGAGGTAGGTAGCAAGGTAGACAGTAAGGTAGATAGTAAGGTAGATAGTGAGATAGGCAGTGAGGTAGACAGTAAGGCAGGCAATGAGTAAGGGGGCAGTGAGCCAGGTAGTAAGTGAGGGGGGCAGCAAGCAAGACAGGCAGTGAGCAAGCCAGTTAGTGAGTGAGGGAGGCAGTGAGATAGTAAGCTAGATAGTGAGATAGGTAGTGAGTGAGCCAGGCAGTGAGCAAGTGAGGCAGTGAATAAGTGAGGCAGTGACCAAGGCAGTAAGTAAGGGAGGCAGTAACTAAGGCAGTGAGTAAGGGAGGCAGGCAGTAAGCAAGGCAGGCAGTGAGCAAGCCAGGCAGTGAGTGAGGGAGGCAGTGAGCAAGCCAGGCAGTGAGCAAGCCAGGCAGTGAGCGAGTGAGGCAGTGACCAAGGCAGTAAGTGAGGGAGGCAGTGACTAAGGCAGTGAGTGAGGGAGGCAGGCAGTAAGCAAGGCAGGCAGTGAGCAAGCCAGGCAGTGAGCAAGCAAGGTAGTGAGTAAGGGAGGTAGCGAGCAAGGGAGCAAGCAAGTCAGGCATTAAGGCAGGCAGTGAGGGAGGCAGTGAATAAGCTAGGCAGTAAGTAAGGCAGGCAGTGAGTGAGGGAGGCAGGCAGTGAGCAAGTTAGGCAGTAAGCAAGCAAGGCAGTGAGTAAGGGAGTTAGTGACTGAGGCAGTGAGCAAGGCAGGCAGTGAGCAAGCCAGGCATTAAGGCAGGCAGTGAGGGAGGCAGTGAACAAGGGAGGCAGGCAGTGAGCAAGTTAGGCAGTGAGCAAGCAAGGCAGTGAGTAAGGGAGTTAGTGAGCAAGGTAGTGAGCAAGGGAGGCAGTGAACAAGCCAGTTAGTTAGCAAGCCAGTCAGTAAGTGAGCTAGCAAGCAAGGCAGTGAGTAGGGGAGTTAGTGAGTAAGCTAGCTAGTAAGGCAGGCAGTAAGCAAGCCAGTTAGTGAGTGAGGGAGGCAGTGAGCAAGGCAGGCAGTAAGCAAGCCAGGCAGTGAGTGAGTGAGGCAGTGAGTAAGCGAGGCAGTGAGTGAGGGAGCGAGTAAGTCAGGTATTAAGGCAGGCAGTGAGGGAGGTAGTGAATAAGCCAGGCAGTAAGCAAGGCAGGCAGTGAGCAAGTAAGGTAGTGAGTAAGGGAAGCACGCAGTGAGCAAGTCAGGTAGTAAGGTAGGTAGCAAGTAAGGCAGGCAGCAAGTGAGGCAGTAAGTGAGGCAGGCAGTAAGTAGGCAGTAAGACAGGCAGTGAGGTAGATAGTAAGATAGATAGTAAGGTAGACAGTAAGATAGATAGTAAGGTTAATAGTAAGGTAGATAGTGTAGTTAATAGTAAGGTAGGTAATAAGGTAGATAGTAATATAAATAGCATAGTAGATAGTAAGGTTAATAGTAAGGTAAATAGTAAGAGAGGTAGTAATATTAGTAGATTAAGATTAGTTAGCATCCATATATTAAGTAATAGATATATATTAGGAGATCAAGGTTAATTAGGATTAATATATTAAGTAAATAAATATATATATTTTAGGATACCATAATAGCAGCAGAGATATATATTATATATTTAGTTTATATAAATATCCAAATCCATGGTTTATACATCTATATATATATATATAATTAGGTATCAGGGGGATATCACCATAGTTAGGAGAGAGATAGTTAGTAAGGTAGATAATAAGATTAATAGTATAGTAGATAGTGAGGTCAACAGTAAGGTTAATAGTATAGTAGATAGTAAAGTGAATAGTAAGGTAGATAGTGAGGTAGATAGCAAGACCAGTAGTAAGGTAGATAGCAAGGTTAATAGGAAGATAGGCAGCAAGAGAGGTAATAATATTAAGAGATTAAGGTTAGTCAGCATTAATATATTTAGAGTTGCATTTGGTGCGGGTTCGGGCGGGTTCAAGCCTAGTTGGCACCAAACCGCTGCGGTTTCGGGTTCAAAATTTAGAACTCGCACCAAACCCGGACCCGATGCGATTCGGTTGCGGTTTTCACCGCAAAACCCGCTGCTAGGCCTAGCTAGGCCTAGCTAGGCCTATACTAACTAACCATGGTTAGATTCGGTTCGGTTTTGGGTTGGTTAAACCGCTAATTTTAACTGTTTTAACCCTTACCATTCCCCCTTCAGGGACCCCTCTGACGCCCCTATCAAGCATGCTTATATAAAATTATGATTTTTATATGAAATATATGGTAATTATCATCATATTAATCTAGATCTAAAATATGAATTCAATATCTATAGGTTTGAATGGGTGGTGGTTAAAAAATCATTTTTAAATATGGTTATTGTCAACAGTCGGTCGCATATATATATAAACTACCACTACTTTCATACCAACCTATGACAGAGATGAAATTCCCTTATATCTCAGCAACCACCAGGTATTTTTGAATAATATTTATATCACTAGATAGCCTTTGATTCAGGCTATCTAGTGATATTAATATCAATTAAAAATATCTAGAATTCAGTAATTTCTAGGTAAAACAGTTGCGGGTTGGTTAACCTAACTCGCAAAACCGCAAAAACCGTAACCAGCGGTTTTAACCGAACTCGAAGCGGTTCCACCCTATGGAAACCGAAACCGGTGCGATTCCCTAGGCTAGGAACCGAACCCAAACCGCTGCGAGTTCGGTGAGGTTCGGGTTCGATTTTTGCGGTTCGGTTATGCAACTCTAAATATATTAGTGAATGAATATATATAAATTAGGATACTATAGTGCTCAGAGATATATATTACAGGAGTTAATTATAGAGTATATTAGCTGAATCCATGGTTTATACACAGGCATATATATATATAATATTAGCCACATTCAAGAGAGAAGTAGGCAGTGAGATAGGCAGTAAGAGAGATAGTAAGGTAGCCAGCAAGGCAGGCAGTAAGGGAGGCAGTGAGTGAGGGAGGCAGGCAGTGAGCAAGCCAGGCATTAAGGCAGGCAGTGAGGGAGGCAGTGAATGAGGGAGGCAGGCAGCAAGCAAGTTAGGCAGTGAGTGAGTGAGGCAGTAAGTAAGGGAGTCAGTGAGCAAGATAGTAAGTAAGGTAGTAAGTAAGATAGTGAGTGAGATAGTGAGGGAGGTAGTAAGCAAGACAGTGAGGGAGGCAGTGAGTGAGATAGTGAGGGAGTAAGGCAGTGAGTAAGACAGCAAGTAAGATAGTGAGCAAGATAGTAACATAGTGAGGGAGGCAGTGAGTGAGATAGTGAGGGAGTAAGGCAGTGAGTAAGGTAGTGAGTAAGATAGTAAGTAAGATAGTGAGGGAGGCAGTGAGTGAGGTAGTAAGTAAGATAGTGAGTAAGATAGTAAGGGAGGCAGTGAGTAAGGTAGCAAGCAAGACAGTGAGCAAGATAGTAAGTAATATAGTGAGGGAGGCAGTGAGCAAGACAGTAAGTAAGATAGTAAGTGAGATAGTGAGTGAGGCAGTAAGATAGGTAGTAAGTAAGGCAGTGAGTGAGGCAGCGAGTAAGATAGTAAGCAAGGCAGGCAGTGAGCAAGTGAGGGAGGCAGCAAGACAGGCAGTAAGTAAGATAGTAAGTGAGTCAGGCAGTAAGGTAGACAGTAAGGTAGATAGTAAGGTAGACAGTAAGGTAGACAGTAAGGTAGACAGTAAGGTAGACAGTAAGGTAGACAGTAAGGTAGACAGTAAGGTAGACAGTAAGGTGGACAGTAAAATAGGCAGTAAGATAGGTGGTAAGACAGGTAGTGAGGTAGATAGTAAGGTAGATAGCAAGGTTAATAGTTAGGCAGGCAGTAAGAGAGGCAGTAATATCAGGAGATTAAGGTTAATCAGTAGTAATATATGAATGAATATATACATTTTAGGATACCATAATGTGCAGAGATATATATTATATAGTTAGTTTGTAGAGTATGTTAGCTGAATCCGTGGTTTATACACAGGCATATATATATAAATAAGACATCAGAGAATACATATAATATTAACCACATTCAAGAGAGAGGTAGGCAGTGAGATAGGCAGTAAGACAGATAGTAAGGTAGCCAGCAAGGCAGGCAGTGAGGCAGACAGTAAGGCAGGCAGTGAGATAGACAGCAAGGTAGCTAGCAAGCAAGGCTGGCAGTGAGTGAGGGAGGCAGCAAGCAAAGCAGCAAGTAAGGCAGTAAGCTAGACAGTGAGCTAGACAGTGAGCTAGACAGTGAGGTAGCCAGTAAGCAAGGTGAGTAGTGAGGCAGGCAGTGAGCAAGATAATAAGATAGGGAGCAAGCAAGATAATGAGGGAGGGAGCAAGACAGGGAGTAAGATAGGCAGTGAGATAGGGAGTGAGTGAGGCAGCAAGATAGACAGTGAGTAAGATAGTGAGTGAGATAGTAAGTAAGATAGTGAGTGAGATAGTGAGCAAGGCAGTGAGTGAGATAGTGAGGGAGATAGTGAGGGAGGCAGTGAGTGAGGCAGTGAGTGAGGCAGTGAGGGAGATAGTGAGGGAGGCAGTAAGTGAGGCAGTGAGCAAGGCAGTGAGGGAGACAGTGAGATAGGCAGCAAGTGAGGCAGCGAGCAAGGCAGCAAGCTAGATAGTGAGGGAGATAGTAAGGGAGGTAGTGAGGGAGATAGTGAGGTAGGCAGCGAGCAAGATAGTGAGCAAGATAGTGAGCAGGATAGTGAGGTAGGCAGTGAGTGAGATAGTGAGGGAGATAGTAAGGGAGGCAGCAAGGGAGATAGTGAGGGAGGCAGCAAGCAAGGGAGGCAGCGAGTGAGGGAGGCAGTGAGTGAGGGAGGCAGTGAGCAAGGTAGTGAGCAAGGCAGTGAGGGAGACAGTGAGACAGGCAGTAAGTGAGGTAGCGAGCAAGGCAGTAAGCTAGATAGTGAGGGAGATAGTAAGGGAGGCAGTAAGGGAGATAGTGAGGTAGGCAGTAAGTAAGATAGTGAGCAAGATAGTGAGCAGGATAGTGAGGTAGGCAGTGAGTAAGATAGTGAGCAGGATAGTGAGCAAGATAGTGAGGTAGGCAGTGAGTGAGATAGTGAGCAAGATAGTAAGGGAGGCAGTAAGGGAGGCAGTGAGGAAGGCAGTAAGATAGGGAGTAAGGTAGGCAGTGAGCAAGGCAGTAAGGTAGATAGTAAGATTAGTAGTAAGATAGATAGCAAGGTTAATAGTAAGGTAAGTAGTAGGTGAGGTAATAATATTAGGAGATTAAGGTTAATCAGCATTAATATATTAAGTAAATAAATATATATATTTTAGGATATCATAATAGCAGCAAAGATATATAATATATATTAGTTTATATAAATATCCCAACTCATGGTTCATACACATCCATATATATACATAATTAGGTATTAGGGGGATATCACCATAGTTAGGAGAGAGGTAGATAGTAAGGTAGATAGTAAGATAATAAGTAAGTAGATAAGTAGGGTAGTAAGTAAGATAGTAATGCAGGTAAAAGGCCCAGAGAGATTATATATAAGGTAGATAGTAAGGTAGATAAGAGATAGAGAGGGAGGGATTTAGTAAAATAAGGAGAGAGGAAGCTAGTATTATATAATATAGAAAGTTTAGTAGGGCAGGAGGAACCCAGTAAGATATTAATTAGATTATAGGGTAAGTATTTAGATATATATATTATTAATTAGGTTAGTAAATAAATAGTTTAGTATAAGTAGTGGTTTTATATATATGCATACATATATATATAACATAAAGGATTAGGGGAATACATATAATATTTAGTAAGATAACCAGAGGCCCCATATAAGGCAGGTAAAAATATAGATAGTAAATAGTAAGTAGATTATAAGGGTAGTAGTAAGTAGGTTATTTAGCCCTACTAGTTGTGTTGTGCGCGGACTCCATGGTTCCTATACTAAATAGGGCTGACTGCAGGGCCTGGTGACTGTAGTTTCCATGTCCATTCCCCGTCTGGTCTGGATTCCATGGTCCTGATCATCCTGCCTTGGTGGACTCCACGGCAATGGCCTATATCTTAGTCAATTCTTGATATTTTTGAATGGTTTAAAATGCTTTATGATTCTAATTAGCTAAATTATTATATTCTAATATCAAATCCTTGATTATTCGCTAGCAAGGTGGTTAAACTAAGGGGGTAGGTGCCAGGTTGAAATTTTTTGTTGGGGTGTGCCAAGATGATTATCTGCGGGAAGTCTATACCCTTTTAGGCCACCACCTAGCCTGGATTAGTGCCTGAGGCATCTAATAGCCTAGTAGGGCCTTAGAATTCAGGCAGAAGGGTATGAGAAAAATAATTTCTAGTATTTATGAAGAGCCTAGTACAAGATGACTAATATTTAATATTTTTAGTAAATAGTAGGGACTTTTAGCTATAGAATGATAATAGTTTGATTATATAAGCATGATTCCTAATTTTTTAAAAATCCTTAAAATACACTTTGAAATTTATTACCTGCTGACTAATTATAATTATTTTTAGTTAATAGGCCAAATTTTAACTAGAAGAATGATATATAGTATGCTTAGTAATACTAAGCCTAGAATTTTTAAAAATTCATAGAAGTTAATGTTTTGTGGATTTCATTTAGAGAGTAGGTCTAGACTTAGTAGTATAGTAGGGAGAGGCCTATAAGCAGGCTACCTAGACTAGTTAATTTAGCTACAATAGGTCCCTGCGTGGGCTATCTCAACTAGGTGATTCGGCTGCGATAGTTCCCTGCGTGGGCTATCTAGACTAGTCGATTCGGTATTGCTCAGCCTAGTGATTCGGCCTCGATAGATCCCTGCATGGGGTATCTCAACTAGGTGATTTGGCTTCGATAGGTCCCTGCGTGGGCTATCTAGACTAGGTGATCCAGCTTCGATAGGTCCCTGCGTGGGGTATCTCAACTAGATGATTCGGCTTCGATAGGTCCCTGCGTGGGCTATCTAGACTAGTTGATTTAGTATTGCTCAGCCTAGTGATTCAGCTGCAATAGGTCCCTGCGTGGGCTCTCTCAACTAGGAGATTCAGCTTTGGTAGATCTCTGCATGGGCTATCTAGACTAGGTGATTCAGTATGGCTCAGCCTAGTAATTTGGCTTCAATAGGTCACTGTGTTAGCTATCTTAACTAGGTGATTCAGCTTTAACAGGTCTAAAATATAGATATAGTAGGGTCATTCAGATGTAGGTAAAGCTTTAGTTAGTAACTATATATATAGTAGAGTCATCTAGATCTAGGGAGACATTTAATTTATAAATATATATAATGAAGGGAAATCAATATATTTAACTTATACTAGCCTAGTAATTCTATAATTATCTAGATCTATCTAGGCCTATCTATTATATCTAGTAGAATAAGATATACTAAATCTATAAAATAATAGGGCCCCTTTATAGTAGGGGGAGGATAAGGGTGGCTTTTAGAGCTAGGGAATAAGGGATTAGGCATATAAGTATATAATATACTCTATAGGAGTAGATAGATTAGTTAATTAAAGATAGGATAGATATAACTACTAATAAGAATAGAGAAGATAGTAATTTAAAAGATAATAATAAGAATTACTTTATATATATATATTTATATGTAAGTATATAAGAAGGATAATTTATATAGATTAGTTTAGTAGTTTAGATTTTAATATATATAAAGGGTTTATAATTAAATATTACCTTAGAAGAGATAGATCTAATAAGTATAAATTAAAGTAGTAATAATAAGTATATAAGAACCTATACTAGGCTATAAGGCTTCCTAATTAAGATAAAAGGCCTACTATAATTAACCTCTATAGTTAATTATGCCTAGCTCCTATATATATATATCTTTAAGTCTTATTATAACCTCTAATAGTTATCTCTCCCTTGCTTAGAGTAGTTATCTCTCCCTTGCTTAGAGTATATCCTAGGGCCTTAGCCTTATTACTAGGTTCTAAGGGTAGCTAGTAACACAGGCCCTTTAGCCTTAGGCTATTATATACTTAAACTTAATATATATATATAGGCCCCTAACCTTATTATAATAGGGAGTCAGCCCTAAGGGGTGGTTATTAGTAAGGGTTAATCTATTAAGTAATCTAATAATCTAAATCTTAGTTAAGTCCCCTCTTAGGATTAAACCTCTAATACTACCTTACTAATAGAGGTTAATTATACTTATAAGAACCTATACTAGGCTGCAAGGCTTCCTAACCAAGATAAAAGACCTACTATAATTAACCCCTATAGTTAATTTTACCTAGCTCCTATATATATATCTTTAAGTCTTACTATAGCCTATCCCACAAGGGGTGGAGCACCATGGTCATGGTGCGTTTAGGGTGTGTAGCTACTGATTGCTTGGCAAACCCCAAGTCCGCGCATGGTGGGTTTACACACTTAGTGGCATGGTGCATTTAGTAATAATAGGCTGATAATGCTCAGATTTTTTCCTTATATAGAGTAGCTATTTATCTTTTCACTAGTTAAATTTAAGGTCTATTAATTCATTCTTGAAGGTGTGGTGTGGTTATAAAATTACCTTATTCAACCTCTGTAATTTTGTTGGGGTATCACCCGCACCTGCATTAGATTCAGGGGTAGAGGTATTCCCATCTCTTAGAATTCATAAATAGTCATTTAAATTCATTTAATCCATCCATATTCATCCATAGTTATTATGGAAAACCAGTTATTTTGTCAGGTGCCGACCCTAGGCATACTCATTTGCCATCAATGCCAGCAGGGGGTGCGACCAGCAGAGGTGGATTAGCATCTTAAGAAGAAGCATCACCTAAAGCATGCAGTCACTAGCTAGATCATCCAGGCAATATCTCAATGGGATGATATTCAGTATGAGAGTAGTGCAATCTGCATACCATATGAATTAGATCAGCCACTGCCTATATTACCATGTCAATCAAATGGCTTGCTCTGCCAGCGAGATCTACTATGCTTATTCATTGCCTCTACTATGAAATCTATGCGAAAGCACTGGTGAATAGTTTACTAGTGGTCCCAGCAGGGCCATCGCGGGCGGGTAGGCCCAAAGGAGAAGGCTAGGGGTGAGGCAGAGCTACAGCAGTCATTTTAATATGTCTCATGGCAGCAGGTGTTCCCTAGTGGTCCAGGGTCCCACTATATCTATATTTGATATCCAGATGGGGTCCCCCACCCCCATCTACCCAGGGCGTGCAGGCTGCAGTGGATGAGGTGGTGCAGGCCTGGGAGCAGGCCCAGGCCCGGGCCAAGGCCGATCAGGCCATCCAGGCCAGCCAGCTGACTGACGCGAACCCCTGGCTGCGGATGACTCAGTGGGCCGACTATCTGCAGGGCACCCAGGCCCATGACCTGCTAGCCTGCGTGGCAGCCCCGGAGGAAGATCCCCAGGATGCCACTGAGCAGCGCGTGCAGGTCATCTGGGCCACCATGGAGCAGGTTGCCTGTAAGAGCCAGCAGACAGTCCAGCATTGCGGCCAGGCCATCCGGGTGGAAGCCGTCTGGTCTGAAAAGGGGCAGACCCCATACCGGCCGCTGCTGGCATACATGGATGAGGCTGCGGTCCAGAAGCATGTCCGTCCATGGTAGTAGATATTAGCATTCATTGCCTGCACGCAGGCCCCGCACGGCTGGACCAGCCCGAAATATGGGATGACCGCGCGGCAGCGCCAGAAATGGCGGCAGCTGTGGCAGCTCGCTAGCCAGGCCGTAGTTCCAGGGGACCGGGAGGACCGGGAGGACCTAGAGGACCTGGAGAACCCAGAGGACCTAGAGGTATGGGCGATGACTGCTATAGAAAAAGCATGCTTAGAATTTTGCATTGAGCTGCTCAACCAGCGCCATCGCAGCCATGAATATGAGAGTGCATTAGTATGCGCCATGGCCGTACTTGGTCAGGGTGAGGCTGGCTGGCGGGACCCAGAGAGCTACCCACCAATATTATCCTGTGTGATCAAGGTGGCCCGATTCATGGTGGTCCAGAAAGCATTATGGATGGACCTGAATCCATGGCAGATCATTCAGACCTGGATACAAAAGGACCAGAGCGCTGAATGGGTCCTAGCTAGCGCAGATGATCAACTTGGGGAGATTGATGAGGGATATGGCAGTGATGACCCCTGATCATCACCACCATCATCACCACCATCATCCATCCATAGTGATGATCCATTGCCCGCGGTCAATATTCGCCAGAGCTGCTGACCATTCCAGGAGCAGGTGACATGGATGATGCACTAGTTTATGATCTGTGGGACACACAGCCCCATGGAAACATTGCTAGACTGGCGCACATATGGATTAAAGGTCCATTATAATCATACCGCGCCCGGACATGTGATGTGGATGGGTGAGGACCAGTTATTATACCAGCAGATGGCGTTCACGATGGGGGATTTTTGGGGATTCATCCATGGATTAGTGACTGCAGCGAGGGAGATACTAGGCTATTTGTGCATGCAGGATTATGCGCAGATGCCTGCCATTCCCTGGACAGCATTATATGACGATCCCAGCTAGACCCAGGCAGGGTGGAACTTTCTGCACGACGCATAGACCCAGTGGCCGGTGGATGGGACCCACTGGATGATTGACCGGCTGCGGGCCGAGCCGGTCATGCAGCGGCATTTTCTGCGGGGTGGCTGATTCCACCCTGCCGCCATCCAGCAGTATTGGCAGCGCGTGGCCCAGTTCAAGGAGAAATTAGCAATTATCGTGCATGTCACTGCAGGGCAGCCGGCCCGGGCCCCAGAGTTATTAAGTATTCAGCATTGCAACACGGCAAATAGTCAACAGCGGAATATATATATCGAGGATGGCATGGTGACATTTGTGACGGCATATCATAAGGGATTCCATGCTAGCAATGATGTCAAGATCATCCATCGATATGTGCTGCAGGAGGTCGGGGAGTTAGTAGTATGGTATATGTGGCTGGTGATGCCATTCATTAATCAGTTGGCTGCATGGCAGGCGGCGCAGGCGGCGCAGGGAAGTCACACCGTGCAGGGAAGCCGGGCCGCGCAGGGGAGCCAGCCCACGCAGGCATGGTTATGGGGCCCCGACCCCGGTACTGGCCGTGAATGGTCGTCCGAGCGGTTCCGGGAGGCGTTGAAACGGGAAACCCGCACCCGGCTAGGCACTGCCATCCATATCGCCGCATACCGGGACATCGCCATTGGCATCAGCCGCCGATTTTTGCGGCCGTCCACCGCGTTCCCCCATAATATCCAGGAGGCTGAGCCGGCCCCAGCTGCCATGGATGCTGATGCCGAGGAGGGCATGGATATTAAGTAGTGGATAGGCCATATTGCTGATTTACAGGCCGCCCATTCATTACACGTCGCCGGCATGGTATATGGCCGTGTCATGTAGGAACAGGCCGGCAGCACGGCCCACTGGCGGGAGATGTTCCGGTTATCCAGCACTAATTGGCATCAGTTTTTAGGGTTTAGCGCCCCGGGCCACCCATCCATATTAGGCAAGCATAAATGGGCCCCGTGGGAGGATGAGGCCGAGGTCAGCCGCATGGAACGCCGCCACCAGCTGGCCACCATGGATCTGGAGGCTGCCGCGCAGCGCATGACCGGGCAGCCCGACATGCGGTTCCGGGGGGTGCAGGACCCGGCAATGCGGGCCATCCAGCGGGGTGAGAGCCCCGTGGTGGCGGTGATGCCCACTGGTGGGGGGAAGAGCATGCTGTTCATGGTGCCCGCGTTTGCCGCCCCCGGGGGCACCACCATCGTTGTGGTGCCACTCATCGCATTACGGGCTGATATGACCAGGCGCTGCCAGGAGCTCGGCATATTGTGTGTGCCATGGGAGAGCCAGCAGCCCCCTAATGCCGCATCTATTGTGTTGGTGACGCCTAAATCCGCGGTGAGCCCTGATTTCCAGACGTTTTTGAACCGGCTGCGGTGGACCCGGCGGTTAGACCAGATCGTGATTGATGAATGCCATGTGGTGTTGAATTCCCAGCACGATTTCCGGCTCTAGATGGCTCAGCTAGGCCGGTTGGTCCAGGCCCGCACCCAGATGGTATGGTTGACCGCCACGTTGCCCCCGAGCATGGAGGCTGAATTATGCCGGTGGATGAAGTATGACCGGGCCGCCGTGACTATATACTGGGCCCGGACCAGCTGGCCGAACGTGGCATACCGGGTGTGGCGGCCGGACATGACCGGGGTGGGCCGGGGCCCATATCAGTGGATCAAGAGTGAGGCGGTGGTGGCATTCATTCAGGACCGCATCCGACGGGCTGCTGGGGGGAAGGTCATCATATATGCAAATATCATTGGGCAGGTGATGGCCATGGCGCGGGTGCTTAGGTGTGAGGCGTATTACAGTGAGCAGTTGGACAAGGCTGGGGTGCTGGCGCGGTTTATGGGGCCAGCCCTGTGATTGCCGCCACTAGCGCGTTAGGCATGGGGGTGGACATCCCCAATATCCGCAGCATCATCCATATTGGGACCCCCGGACGTTACTGGATTACGCGCAGGAGAGTGGCCGGGCTGGGCGAGATGGACAGCATAGTGAGGCAATTATTATCCAGCCAGCTGGGTGGGATGCCCCAGCTCCATGGATGGAGGGCATCGCCCATGAGGACCAGGAGCGGGTTGCTGAGTATATGGGGGTGGTGGAAGGCATTAGGTGCCGCTGGGTCGTGTTAGATCAGTATTTAGACGGAGTGGTGGACGGGTATTAGCGGCGGTATTGCCAGGATGCGGATCCCGGGGAGCAGATATGTGATGGGTGTGATCCCAATTGGGCAGAGCCGGAGGTGGATCCAGCCAGGGTTAGTAGCAGCCCAGTGCCGGGTGAGGCAGCCCCAGAGGCCCCATGTGAGGCAGGCAGCGAGGCAGGCAGCGAGGCAGGTAGCGAGGCAGGCAGTGAGGCAGGCAGTGAGGCAGGCAGTGAGGCAGGGAGAGAGGTAGGGAGAGAGGTAGTCAGAGAGGCCCCATGCCAGGCAGGTAGCATGGTAGCAAGAGAGGCAGCCAGAGAGGCCCCATGGCCAGCAGGCAGCATGGCAGGGAGAGAGGTAGTCAGTGAGGCACCATACAGGGTGACCCCACCATCAGGCAGTCCCACCCCATCCAATGAGTCATTTTGCAGCCAGCCATCCATTCCCATGGCAGTATGGCACGCCCAGCAGGCGCAGGCCCAGCAGTGGGCCGCCATGGATATCCAGCAGCAGCAGCATCAGACCCAGCAGGGTTTGGATGAGGAGATGGCCCAGGCCGAATGCATGCAGTGGCGGGACCAATGTTATATATGCGCCATGCAGGGGGGTGATGGTGGCCATGAGTTATATGCATGTCATCAGCCCCACAGCCAGGCCGCACGGGCATGGATGATCCGCGTGCGTCAGCAAGTGCAATATGCCCCGTATAGCGCGTGTTTTTCATGCGGCATGCCCCAATCCATATGCCATGGGTGGGAGCCGGGCCATGTATGCGAATACCGCGGGTTTTTAATCCCCATGGTGGCCATGATGTTATTCGGGCCATGGCAGGGCCAGATCGAGCCCATATGGCAGCGCTGGTTGCAGGGAATGGGGGTTGATGGGCAGGATGAGGCCCAGGTGGTCCAGTTTTTAGGGCAGGCGCACCCTAACCACGAGGGGCACAGCCAGTTATTTACATCATTTTGTTGGTTACAGTAGTTATGTCAGGAGATCGAGGTTGATCAGCATTGATATATTTGGGAATGAATATATATTTTAGTAAACCATAATGCGCAGAGATATATATTATACGGTTGGTTTATATAGTATGTTAGCTGAATCAGTGGTTTATACATATGCATATATATAATATCAACCATAGTTATGATAGACATAGGTAGTAGGCAGGGAGGGAGCAAGAGAGACAGTAGGTAGACAGTGAGGTAGGCAGTGAGGTAGACAGGAAGGTAGACAGGAAGGTAGACAGGGAGGCAGACAGTAAGGTCATGCATGAGGCAGGCAGCAAGACAGGCAGTGAGGTAGACAGAATGGGAGGCAGAATGGGAGGTAGAATGGGAGGCAGAAGGGCAGGTCAAATAGCAGGGAGAACAGCAGGCAGTAAGGTAGTGATCAGGATAGCAAGCAAGGTAGTACAGTAAATCATAAGGCCCCAGGAAGGTCATGCATGAGGCAGGCAGAACAGCAGGCAGAAAGTGAGACAGGTAGTGAGGTAGATAGTGAGGTTAATAGTAAGGCAGGCAGCAAGACAGGCAGTATAGTAGACAGCGAGGTAGACAGCGAGGTAGACAGCAAGATAGACAGCAAGATAGACAGCAAGATAGACAGCAAGATAGACAGCAAGATAGACAGCAAGATAGACAGCAAGATAGACAGCAAGATAGACAGCAAGATAGACAGCAAGACCAGCAGTGAGATAGGTAGTAAGCTAGACAGTGAGGCACAGTAAGGCAGGTAGTAAGGCAGGTAGTAAGGTAGGCAGTGAGGTAGATGGTAAGGTAGATAATGAGGCAGGCCATAAGGCAGATAGTAAGGTAGGTAATATAGTCAACAGTAAGGCAGGCAGCAAAACCAGCAGTGAGGTAGGCAGTAAGGTAGGCAGTGCAGTGAACAGTAAGGCAGGTAGTAAGATAGGCAGGATAAGGCCCAGGTAGTCCAGGTTTTGCAGTAGGCGCACCCAACCAGGAGGGGCATAGCCAGTTATTTATATTATTTTATTAGTTACAGCGGTTATGTCAGGAGATTGAGGTCGATCAGCATTGATATATTAATGAATGAATATATATATTTCAGGATACAATAATGCGCAGAGGTATATATTATACATTTAGTTTATAGAGTATGTTGGCGAATCCGGGGTTTATACGCAGGGATATATATATGTGACATATCAGGGAATATATATCATATTAACCATAGTTAGGAGAGAGGTAGGTAGCAAGGTAGACAGTAAGGTAGATAGTGAGATAGGCAGTGAGGTAGGCAGTAAGGCAGGCAGTGAGCGAGGGAGCAAGCCAGCGAGCAAAACAGTAAGTTAGACAGTGAGGTAGCCAGCGAGCGAGGCAGCAAGCAAGTGAGGCAGGTAGCCAGCACGCGAGGGAGTGAGTGAGGCAGTGAGCGAGGTAGGCAGTGAGCGAGGTAGGCAGTGAGCGAGGTAGGCAGTGAGCAAGACAGGCAGTGAACAAGCCAGTCAGTCAGCGAGCCAGTCAGTGAGTGAGGGAGGCAGCGAGCAAGGGAGCGAGTGAGTTAGTGAGCGAGCCAGCTAGTGAGGTAGGCAGTGAGCAAGGCATGCAGTGAGCAAGGCAGGCAGTGAGTGAGTCAGGCAGTGAGCAAGGGAAGCACGCAGCGAGCAAGTCAGGCAGTGAGCAAGGCAGGCAGTGAGTGAGGGAGGCAGCGAGCAAGGGAGCGAGCGAGTCAGTGAGCGAGCCAGCTAGTGAGGCAGGCAGTGAGCAAGCCAGTCAGTGAGCGAGGGGAGGCAGTGAGCGAGCCAGGCAGTGAGCGAGCAAGGCAGTGAGTGAGGGAGGCAGCAAGCAACGGAGCGAGCCAGCTAGTAAGGAAGGCAGTGAGGGAGGCAGTGAACGAGCTAGGCAGTAAGTAAGGCAGGCAGTGAGTAAGGGAGTCAGTGACTGAGGCAGTGAGCGAGGGAGGCAGGCAGCGAGCGAGGCAGCAAGACAGGCAGCAAGACAGGCAGCAAGACAGGCAGCAAGACAGGCAATGAGACAGGCAGCGAGGGAGGCAGCGAGCGAGATAGTGAGTGAGGCATTGAGTGAGATAGTGAGGGAGGCAGTGAGCAAGACAGTGAGCGAGATAGTAAGTAAGGCAGCGAGCAAGACAGTGAGGGAGGTAGTAAGTGAGGTAGTGAGTGAGATAGTGAGGGAGGCAGCGAGCAAGACAGTGAGGGAGGTAGTGAGCGAGGTAGGCAGTGAGGGAGGCAGTGAACAAGCTAGGCAGTAAGTAAGGCAGGCTGTGAGTGAGGGAGGCGGGCAGCGAGCAAGTTAGGCAGTGAGCGAGCGAGGCAGTGAGTGAGGGAGGCAGCAAGCAAGACAGTGAGGGAGGTAGTAAGTGAGGTAGTGAGTGAGATAGTGAGGGAGGCAGTGAGCGAGGTAGGCAGCGAGCAAGACAGGCAGTGAACAAACCAGTCAGTCAGCGAGCCAGTCAGTGAGTGAGGGAGGCAGTGAGCAAGGGAGCGAGCGAGTCAGTGAGCGAGCTAGCTAGTGAGGTAGGCAGTGAGCAAGGCAGGCAGTGAGCAAGGGAAGCACGCAGTGAGCAAGCCAGGCAGTGAGTAAGGCAGGCAGTGAGTGAGGGAGGCAGCAAGCAAGAGAGTGAGCAAGCCAGGCATTGAGGCAGGCAGCGAGGGAGGCAGTAAGATAGGTAGAATAAGGCCCAGGTAGTCCAGGTGGTCCAGGGTTTTAGGTTAGTGCATCCCAACCATGAGGGGCACCGCTAGTTATTTATATTATTTTATTTAGTACAGCAGTTATGTCAGGAGATCAGGTCGATCAGCATTGATATATTAATGAATGAATATATATATTTTAGGATACCATAATGCGCAGAGATATATATTATACAGTTAGTTTGTAGAGTATGTTGGCTGAATCCGTGGTTTATACGCAGGCATATATATATAAATGAGACATCAGAGAATACATATAATATTAACCACATTCAGGAGAGAAGTAGGCAGCAAGATAGGTAGTAAGGGAGTCAGTGACTGAGGCAGTGAGCGAGGGAGGCAGGCAGCGAGCGAGGCAGCGAGCGAGATAGTAAGTGAGGCAGTGAGTGAGATAGTGAGCGAGATAGTGAGTGAGATAGTGAGTGAGATAGTGAGTGAGATAGTGAGTGAGATAGTGAGTGAGATAGTGAGTGAGATAGTGAGGGAGGCAGTGAGCAAGGGAGCGAGCGAGTCAGTGAGCGAGCTAGCTAGTGAGGTAGGCAGTGAGCAAGGCAGGCAGTGAGTGAGGGAGGCAGCAAGCAAGAGAGTGAGCAAGTCAGGCATTAAGGCAGGCAGCGAGGGAGGCATTAAGTAAGGCAGGCAGTGAGTGAGGCAGCAAGACAGACAGTAAGGTAGATAGTAAGATAGATAGTAAGGTAGACAGTAAGATAGATAGTGTAGTCAATAGTAAGGTAGGTAATAAGGTAGATAGTAATTATAAATAGCATAGTAGATAGTAAGGTTAATAGTAAGGTAAGCAGTAAGAGAGGTAGTAATATTAGTAGATTAAGATTAGTTAGCATCCATATATCAAGTAATAGATATATATTAGGAGATCAAGGTTAATTAGGATTAATATATTAAGTAAATAAATATATATATTTTAGGATACCATAATAGCAGCAGAGATATATATTATATATTTAGTTTATATAAATATCCAAATCCATGGTTTATACATCCATATATATATATATAATTAGGTATCAGGGGGATATCACCATAGTTAGGAGAGAGATAGTTAGTAAGGTAGATAATAAGATTAATAGTATAGTAGATAGTGAGGTCAACAGTAAGGTTAATAGTATAGTAGATAGTAAAGTGAATAGTAAGGTAGATAGCAAGGTTAATAGGAAGGCAGGCAGCAAGAGAGGTAATAATATTAAGAGATTAAGGTTAGTCAGCATTAATATATTAGTGAATGAATATATATAATTTGGGATACCATAATGCTCAGAGATATATATTATAGAGTTAATTATAGAGTATATTAGCTGAATCCGTGGTTTATACACAGGCATATATATATATAATATTAGCCACATTCAAGAGAGAGGTAGGCAGTGAGACAGGCAGTGAGAGAGATAGTAAGGTAGCCAGCAAGGCAGGCAGCAAAGGAGGCAGTGAGCAAAGCAGTAAGCAAGGCAGTAAGCTAGACAGTGAGCTAGACAGTGAGGTAGATAGTAAGTGAGAGAGGCAGTAAGGGAGGCAGGCAGTGAGGCAGTGAGGTAGATAGTGAGGTTGACAGTGAGGTAGACAGTAAGATAGACAGTGAGCAAGGTAGCTAGTGAGACCAGCAGCAAGACTGGAAGTGAGCAAGGCAGTAAGGCAGTGAGCAAGATAGTAAGCTAGACAGTGAGCTAGACAGTGAGTGCAGCAGTAAGAAAGGCAGTGAGTGAGATAGCAAGACAGGGAGTAAGTAAGATAATAAGGGAGGCAGTGAGATAGGGAGTAAGTAAGGTAGCAAGACAGGGACTGAGGAGGGAGGCAGTGAGATAGGCAGTAAGGCAGGCAGCAAGCAAAGCAGTGAGCAAGGCAGTGAGTAAGGCAGTCAGCAAGATAGTGAGTGAGATAGTGAGCGAGTTAGTGAGGGGGCAGTGAGCGAGATAGTGAGGGAGGCAGTGAGGGAGGCAGTGAGCAAGACAGTGAGCAAGATAGTAAGTAAGGCAGTGAGTAAGGCAGTCAGCAAGATAGTGAGTGAGATAGTGAGCGAGTTAGTGAGGGGGCAGTGAGCGAGATAGTGAGGGAGGCAGTAAGTAAGATAGTGAGGGAGGCAGTAAGTGAGATAGTGAGGGAGGCAGTAAGCAAGACAGTGAGCAAGATAGTAAGTAAGGCAGTAAGTAAGGCAGTCAGCAAGATAGTAAGTAAGATAGTGAGCGAGTTAGTGAGGGGGCAGTGAGCAAGATAGTGAGGGAGGCAGTAAGTGAGATAGTGAGCAAGACAGTGAGCGAGATAGTGAGGGAGGCAGTGAGGGAGGCAGTGAGCAAGACAGTGAGCAAGATAGTAAGTAAGGCAGTGAGTAAGGCAGTCAGCAAGATAGTGAGTGAGATAGTGAGCGAGTTAGTGAGGGGGCAGTGAGCGAGATAGTGAGGGAGGCAGTAAGTAAGATAGTGAGGGAGGCAGTAAGTGAGATAGTGAGGGAGGCAGTGAGCAAGACAGTGAGCGAGATAGTAAGTAAGGTAGTGAGTGAGATAGTGAGGGAGGCAGCAAGCAAGACAGTGAGGGAGGCAGTAAGTGAGATAGTGAGGGAGGTAGTGAGTGAGATAGTAAGGGAGGCAGTGAGCAAGACAGTGAGCGAGATAGTAAGTAAGGCAGTGAGTAAGATAGTGAGTGAGATAGTGAGGGAGGCAGCAAGCAAGACAGTGAGGGAGGCAGTGAGTGAGATAGTAAGGGAGTGAGGCAGTGAGTGAGGCAGTGAGTAAGATAGTAAGCAAGGCAGGCAGTGAGTGAGTGAGGGAGGCAGCAAGATAGGCAGTAAGCAAGATAGTAAGTGAGTCAGGCAGTAAGGTAGACAGTAAGGTAGATAGTAAAACAGGCAGTAAGATAGGTGGTAAGACAGGTAGTGAGGTAGATAGTAAGGTAGATAGCAAGGTTAATAGTTAGGCAGGCAGTAAGAGAGGCAGTAATATTAGGAGATTAAGGTTAATTAGTAGTAATATATAAATGAATATATATATTTTAGGATACCATAATGCGCAGAGATATATATTATACAGTTAGTTTGAAGAGTATGTTAGCTGAATCCGTGGTTTATACACAGGCATATATATATAAATGAGACATCAGAGAATACATATAATATTAACCACATTCAGGAGAGAAGTAGGCAGCGAGATAGGCAGTAAGGTAGTCAGTGAGTGAGGCAGTGAGCAAGAAAGGTAGTGAGGGAGGCAGTGAGGGAGGCAGCAAGATAAGCAGTGAGGTAGATAGTGAGGTTGACAGTGAGGGAGGCAGTAAGCAAGATAGTAAGGGAGGCAGTAAGATAGGCAGTGAGCAAGGCAATAAGGGAGCCAGTAAGTGAGACAGCAAGACAGGGAGTGAGTAAGGCAGTGCATGAGATAGTGAGGGAGATAGTAAGATAGGTAGTAAGATAATAAGTAAATAGATAAGTAGGGTAGTAAGATAGTAATGCAGGTAAAAGGCCCCAAGGAGATTATATATCAGGTAGACCATAAGGTAGATAAGAGATAGAGAGGGAGGTATTTAGTAAAATAAGGAGAATAGACAGAAGGTAAGAGGTAGTAAGGAGAATAAAGTAAGGAAGGATAAGTAATAGAGTAAGGGTTAGTAAGTTTAAGATAAGAATAAGGGGTAGAAATATATAAGATAGAGAGAGTTTTAGTAAAGAGAAGAAATAAATATAATTAAAAATAGAAGAAGAAAGGGAAGAGGAAAGGGAAGAGGAAAGGGAAGAGGAAAGGGAAGAGGAAAGGGAAGAGGAAAGGGAAGAGGAAAGGGAATAGAAAAGAAAAGAAAATAAAAGGTAATAATAAGAGAGAGAATAAGGGTTAGGAATAAAATAGAAATTATTAATATATTAAGGTAAGGGTTAGAATTATTAAAGAGAATAAGGATTTAATAGAGAGATAGATAGAATAAGAGGAGAGAGTTAGAGATAAAGAGGGTATTAAGTAATAGGAATTTAAGAATAATAAGTTAAAATTAGAGGAAAGATTAAGGATGGAGTAAGGGTTAGATAGTAAGAAGATAATAGATAGAAAAAGAAAGAGAAAAGAAGAAAGAAAAGAAAAGAAAGAAGAGTTAGATATAGAAAAAAGAATAATTAGAATTTTAGTAAGAGATTATATAAGGGATAGAGTAAGGGTTAGTATAATTAAGAATATAGGTTATAATATAAAAGAGAGGAGAGAGAGAGTAAAAGATAAGGTTAGGATTTAGAATTATTAAAGAGAATAAGAAAAAAAGAGAGTGATTAATTATAGAAGATAAGAGAATCAGGGATAGAGAGAATAAGGATAAAAAGAGAGTAGATTAATTATAATATAAGAGAGAAGAAGGGTTTATTTTTAATAGAATAAGAGAGAAGATTAAAAAAGAAAAGAAGAAAGAGTAGAGAAGAGAAGAAAGGATTAAAGTTAGGATTTAATAAGTAGATTAGAAGAAGAATATAAGATATATAAGAAGGAAAAAAAGGGAGAAGGTAGAGATAGTAAGAAAAAGAAGATAGTAAGGGATTAGGTAAGGGTTCACATAAGGGTTAGTAAGTTTAGAGAAGGGAAAAGGTAGAGATAGTAAGAGATTAAGTAAGGGATCATATAAGGGTTTATAAGTTTAGAGAAGGGAAAAGAGTATACAAGTTAATTTAGAAAGAAAAGAATAGAAGGTAAAGATAGATAAGATAGAAAGAGTTTAAGTAAAGGGTAAGAAAGAGAAGAAGAATAAGAAGAATAAGAAGAAAGAGAAGAAAGAGAAAAAAGAGAAGAAAGAGAAGAAAGAGAAGAAAGAGAAGAAAGAGAAGAAAGAGAAGAAAGAGAAGAAAGAGAAGAAGGAAATTAAAATTAAGGAAAGATAAATTAAAAGAAAAGGATAAAGTAAATAATAATTTAATAGAATGAATTAGGAAGGTAGTAAGGATTAATAGAAATATTAGAGTAGAAGGGGATTAGGAATAAGATAGAGAGAGAGGGGTAGTAATTTAATAGAAAGAGGTAGTAGTTATAAGAGAAAGAATAAGAATAATAAAAGAGAAAGAGGATTAGATTTAGTAATTAATAAAATCAGGGATTAAGAGTAGGTTAATTAGGTAGAATAAGAGATAATTTATAGGATTAGGAATTTATTAGGATTAGGAATAAGTCAGGATTAGGGATTTAGTAAGAGGTTAATAGGTTTGGGTTAGTATTAAAAATTTAAATAAATAATAGTTTATAATAAGATAGGATTAGTTAAGTAAGAGATAGAATAAGAATTCAGTCCAGTAAGGGATAGAGGAAGGGTTAGTTAGTTTAATAAGGAAGAAGATATTCAGAGTTAGAGATATAAGAAAGAAAGAGAGAAAGAGAAGAGAGAAAGAATTATAGATAGAGATTAATATAAGTAAGAGTTTAAGAGTGAGGGATTTAAAATTAAGTTAATATTAGTTAGATTAAAGAAAGAAGGGAGGGAGAGGAGGAAGGGTTAATAAGAGTAGGGATAGATAGATATAGGAAAATAAGGATTTAGAAGGATTTAGGAAGAGAGAGGATTTAGAAGGAAGATAGAAAGAAGAGAGGAGAAGAGAAGGAAATAAGTTATTAGATATTAATTTAGAGAGATTGAAGTAG